AAGATGTTGTGGCGACAGTGGCCTCTCAACAACCACTGCCAGCGCACAGAGGAGGCTATTCTAATATCTGGCAGGGAAGCAGAGAACTCGACGTAAAAACGAACATAGTGACAAGTAGCCTACCAACAGTGGCTCCGATCAGGAACGACGGCCACAAATCTGATGCCAGCATTGGGGGTTTGACCTGTCAACATGTCTAGGAACAGACTCCAAAATCAGGGAAGAATGTTTCAAATATATGTACAACGTAATTTTAGTGTTACTCTCTGCAATACCAGAGAGCAATCTGAAGTACATAATCTCCGTCTAAGAGAAATCTCATGGGTGAAGGCTATCGAAAAAAATTAAGGTTTAATTCAGATCACAGGTAAAACAGAGATTCCAGTGATGTTTTGAATACGATGCCAACATATCGTGCATTATCCAACAAGAGGCTACCGAGTATGGCGAAATCCGGAAAACACCAGCAACAAGTGGCAGCAGTATGGTTCTTACCCAAACTCCTCCACAAACAACACCAAGACACTGTGCAGCTGGAAAAAAAGGAGCATGGCTGTCTGCTGCCCCACCTTCCCTCCACCAAATGTGGTATTGTCGAATGTACCCAGAATACCTAAGGAATGCATGCACGTAGTCCTGGGGTGACGATTCATGTCAGCTTATCAATAGACAGACCTAGGAAACGCGTATCTTCACAATATACCCTTAGGAATGTGAAGAGACTAATATGGGCATCCTTCCTCATCTGTGCTGGTTGACAAGACCGTCCACTAGGAGGTCAGAGACTGGAGCCTGGGATATTGATTCTCGAAACCAGCTCCAAGTCATGATACAATTCATGTACATTTCATAGAGCCGCAATGTTTCTACGCTGTATTACAAGCACCATAAAGCCACGTGGTGAAGGAGGACCTCCTGCGGCGCGAAGACTTACCATTTGCTATGGAATGGGAGAACCAACTATCAGCCTGCTAACAGGAGTCATTCAGCGTCTGTTCCTGTACCGACTCGTGTGGAAGAAAAAGTGTCTTGCCAAAGGAAGAGACCATTCCACCCCTTGGTCGTTGTATCTTGCGATGAAGGAAGACTGGAAAATATAACGGGAGCAGAGACTTTTTTAGACCTTGAGGATTGTGTAGACTTCCTAGGTTCAGCAACCCCAAGGTATGAAGGACTGCCTGGGTACGCCTTTCCTCTAGTTGAGCCACTCAGGTAAGTGGTGGTAGGGGGTGGATTCCCAGGACCTGTGGTCTGTATACAAGCGGCTCCTACATCAGATATTGAATTATCAATGGTAAAATGGTGAAACACATGTGAAGAACCTCTCACACACTCACAGCTCCCTGACAAGAGGGAGCAAGCTTAGCTTAGCTGCCAACACCCACACATCGTGTCAGCAAGGCGGACAGCCCACCTGCTTTCATACCTCTCACTGTATTTCCCACTTCTATACTTCCCTTCACCTATGCCTCTCCTTCCTCTTTACTCCCTCCCCTCCCCCCCAAAAAAAATCAATGGTAGAAATTCCAGCAGCAGCCTGTGTTTTCCACAGTCAGACATGCGCGAACATTGACAGGTCAGATGACAACTGAAACATTGACGAGCATTACATGGCTTAATTGATGGGTTGGGATCGGTTTAGAAAAAAATACATAGCAATTTTTTCACCTTTATTATATATATTAAGTCGCAGTATATCACAAATGGCTTTCTTGCACAAGATATCAAAATAAATACAAGTGAAACTGTGAGTATGGGCGCAGTGAGCCCAAGAAGGACCTCTCGTGGCAGATAGTTCTTTAAGACTGAACCTACTAATTATTCCACATAATTCAGGTGACATTTAATAAACAAACAAGTGAACTTACAAGTAAGGCCCTTATCTATATTATAATACATAAATTAATTAGTGTGATATGATATGAACCGAAATAGTTTATTTACAAGGAAATATAGTACTGTATGTAGACAAAAATATCTACACAAAACGCGTATATGTATTATACATACATACACACACACTTATAAAAGGAAATTGCAGGTAACGAATCTCTAAATAGGGAGGACCTCATTTGCAAACTCTGAATATGAGCGAGAAAAATTCTTCAACATTATATTAGTGAATGGCAAGTTACCAAGTGAGATACTGTACCTGCAGCTCTGTAACTATTTCATTCACTCACTGATAATATAAGATATTCTCATACTCTACCCAAACTTTGTTACTGAAGGCTAATAGACTAGATTCGCATTCCATATATATGGCTAAGCACTCTCTGAGATGGTGACATTAGATGAATCTTTTATATAACATATCGTTTGTATGTTGCAACTTGACTACCTGTTTGTAGGGGAAGAGCTTCATCTTTTAGGTCCCACCTCAAACAACCAATTCATTGGTTCGTGTACAAATTGAGGAACCCTTTGACTCTCTCATATCTACTTTTGAAACTGTGCCTTTGTATTGGTCCCATGTAACAACCTTAGGACTCATTTCATTCCCTAAAAATTACAACCATGTATCATACTGTTATTGAACTAATAAAGTGTAGTTACAGCATGAGAGCTGAGCTTGTCAGGTCCTGTGTTTCCTAGTGTGTGTGCATGCATATAGATGTTTGTACATGTAAGCATGTGTACATATGTACTCGGTTCAGTCTTCTTAATGCTGTGTGTATGCATGTAGTTGCTTGTGTGTGTGTGTATATATATATATATATATATATATATATATATATATATATATGTGTGTGTGTGTGTGTGTGTGTGTATATCACGAAAATAAACACGTGATTAAGAATGTAACAATGTCAGACCACGGAGGAAAATGAAACAGGAATTTCCTTAAGTACTTTCGTATATTAAATACATCTTCAGAAGGAATCAAGGATTCATTTCATTCCCTAAAAATTACAACCATGTATCCTTCAGAAGGAAGGATTCCTTCTGAAGATGTATTTAATATACGAAAGTACTTAAGGAAATTCCTGTTTCATTTTCCTCCGTGGTCTGACATTGTCATATATATATATATATATATATATATATATATATATATATATATATATATATATATATATATATATATATATATACATGTGTGCACTTGGTTCATGCTATTATTGTGTCATCTGCGTGTGTGCGTTTTCAAATCATATTACATTAGAATACAATCACTAGTCAGTCATATTTAACTACTAATTATATTAGCAAAGATATATGTCTTTATATATATGTGTGTATTTTTAAAATATTCTGTCTGAGGTATATTAATTAATAAAACACATAAAGTACCAATGAAATAGAAAGTAATAGTGAACACTTATTTAACTGTGATAATATATATATATATATATATATATATATATATATATATATATATATATATATATATATATATATATACATATATATATATATATATATATATATATATATATATATATACATATATATATACATACATATATATATATATATATATATATATATATATATATATATATATATATATATATATATATATATATATATATAAAGAGTATCTCTTAAAATGTCAACACCTTAAACAACTTTGTATAATCCATGGAATGTTGATCACTTATCTGCATCTCATCATTTTTTGTTAAGTGCGGAAAATACACTTACGAGATACTGATTCTGGCATGTCCTCAGGGTAGACAAGTGGATCGAAGCAATAGACTTGGGAGTATTAGACTTGAAATACCTCTTGTATGAAAATATATATCAACCTACTATTGAAATTCATAAGTATATATGTATACTATACTTTCATAAACATAAAGATAAAAACAAGTTATTTTAAAGATTTCATTAACATTCAATAAATGTGAAGTTTTGAGTGTGGGTGAAATATTTCAATGAAAATACGAAATAATGACAGATATTTGAATCAAACGTTCATTACCATTCATCCATTATTTGCAAATTTCTTACTTTAAAAAGTGTGAGAAAATGTGAGACAGTATGTCATATTATTTGAAGTCCATACATCCTAAAAATGCTGTCATCTTAGAGAGCAAACTCTTGAATTTTCAATTTCATAAATTTAGTTTAATATCAACTGCATCATAAATATATCCCAGTGATTACAGTGTGTAGTTTTATTTTATGTATGTTAGATATGACAGAAAAATCTCATCCCTCTCCCCCCCATGCATGCTCAACTGTGCCAGTCTACTTATATGTAGGAGCTTAGGAACTTTAACTGACTCTCCTCACTCAAAAACTTGGCAATTTTATATAGCGACTCTTTTTGGCTCGCTGTTGAGAGCCATTCAGTTCATTTATTTTGGGAGGCATAATGAACATAGTTGCTGGGTTTTGGGGATTATTCTGTTCTTGTTCCAAGATGGATTTTGGCCATGTTTTTGTAAACTGTGTTTACTTCCACTTAGAAAAGTTTACTCACTGAAACTTTCCAATGCATGGCTCTTCGTCTGATTAAAATTGTAAACAACCCAATGATGAATCACTTAACTACTATCTTCAAAATGTGTTACTTATGAAGCACGACCTTTAGGAAGTCATCAAATTTGTGTTACCATCATCATCATCATCATCCAGCCCATCCTCTTGTTTTGTTAGTACTTATAGTAACGATGAGGACCATAGTATATATACCGACGTTCAACACGAAATTAGAAAATAGAAATCTGAATTATTGAGTTGGACAAACTGGAAGCTATTCTTTACTTGTGTTGCTTTGACAAACTAAACTAACCTAACTTAACCTTCCTAGGCCTAATACACGATATCTGAGGCCTAATATAGTACATATGTGTGCTATATTAGGCCTAGGAATATTTAAGTTTGTTTCATTTATTTTAAGTTTTAGCTTCATTTATTTTCAAAGAATTCGTTACTACTCAGTATACTACTATCTAAAAGCTAAGAACCAGTACGTACAAATTCGTGACTATTGACGACCGTAACAATGGGTACTATCTAAACAGGAGGATGGGTTGCATCATCATATAGAGTCTGAGATCTACCAAAATCCATCGATGATTGTACATCTTTCAAGAGTAATTACCCCAGGGTGAATCTACTGTCTTCGTCTAGTTGGCAGAGTTGTAGATGATGTAGATTTTTTCACGAGTAAAGAATATGCTGTTTTCTAGTTGGCAGGGTTCTGGACGATGTAGATTTTGCACAAGTGAAGAATATGCTGTTTTCTAGTTGGCAGAGTTGTTAGACGATGTAGATTTTTTGCACAAGTCAAGAATCTGCTGTTGTCTAGTTGGTAGGGTTCGGGACGATGTAGATGTTACAGCAGGCCAGCCTACTGCCGGCATTGCCAGTGGTGAGGGAGTCTGGTTTGTTGCCTAGACCAAGATCGTCCCTATTCTCGTGGATCACAATGGACCGTCCCACAACGGACCGCATCCCAAACATGCTAATACTGTCCTTGATCTGGTATAGGGAAGAGTAACATTAACGCTACTACCAATGCTACCATATAGAGTATATCCAAATAATAAAACTTTAATATTAAGTGTTGACACAGTTTGTAGACTCAGTTAACAGTAAAACAAATGAAAGTGCACAAATATTTATAATAAAGTTAAATAGAAGCCATTGCTAACAAAAATGTTTATACTGTACTAAATAATTTGAATAATTTAAGTGTTCACAAATAGATTCACAATCAGGGAAAATTCAACTGAAATAAATCATGCAGAAATAACTTAACTAATCACGAAGAACAGAGCATATTGTAAATAAAACTGAGAATGCAATAGTGTTAACGAATGTCAATTATCATGAAGACTATGAGCTGAACCCCTGTCCAAGGTGGTTCTTTAAGACTCCTTCTTCTAGTCTGAGGATACGAGACACATAAGAATGTTGCTCCTCCTAAGAATAAACCTTGGTGAGTCCAGCAAAGCTTTCCCCTGTTAGAAGTTAAGCTAACTTAAGATTCAATGAGTAATGTATTAATTCGACTACAGATAAATTGATTACCAATCAATCACAACTCGAATACTTACATCAATAATGGCAGTGCCAAGAGCTGTTCCGTTGGGAAAGCTCTCAATGTTACCCAGGTCGCCTACATGGCGCTGAGTGGCATTAGGGGCGGAGTGGTTGTAGCCATCTGGGTTGTAGTGGCCCTTAGCATCCACACATGCTTCGTTGGCTCCATTCACACCGAACTCGTGTACGTGGAATCCGTGGAGGCCAACAGACAAACCTGTTAGGGGATTAACAGTTATACTGTGGATATGTTTCTTCGCTGAATATCTGCCCTGTATGATAAGCAAAATCTATTTCTAAGCACTTGGTATCTAGAGATTCTATAATACTACATATATTAATAACATATGCATACGAGTAGTTACAGGGTTATTTATAAAACTGTGTACATTAGAGTCTTCTACACACAGAAATCACAATAGCGTGATGCATCAAATGAACAAATCCTCAAGGGCCGTGACGAGGGTTCGAACCTACGTCCGAGAGCATCCCAGACGCTCGAACCCTCGTGGATTTGTCCATTAGAGTCTTCTGTTGTAAATCTCTTTCAGTTGGCTCCTACTCTCCCGGATACGACCTACCAGTCCCTCCAGCTAGCCTGGGACATTGGAGCACCTCTGCAAGTACCTTCAGGTGGTGGGAGAATACATATCGTACTCTGTCTCTATACGTGCCATGTACATTCAGTCTTAAGGCTGCAAGGACCGTTGTTGCCTTATTGCAAGGTTCACAGGCACTTGGTATAAAGTCCGCTGGATGTTGAGTCTGCTGACCAACGTGTCCGTGGATGATCATGGACAAAGTTTACCCAGATCCAATTTCCATTTCTCTTGACATCCCAGAATGTATATTAAGACAATTGCTTGAAGTGTGCACCATAAGAGCCCTGATGATTTCAAATATAAACAAGTAGATGGTGTCACCACGAGTTCCTTCCTGCCTAGGTGTCCTATTTGTAAATTTATATTATAGTATCATTGAAGAGAAAGCCCTAGTTGACATGGACCATAGACTTGAACTATACACCAGGTAAACTGATGATATCTTCTTACAGGGACCTGGCAGGGAACTCTTGGTATTGCTTAAGGAAGTTTTCAAGTAAATTGCCGTGCTTAGATTTGCCTATGAGATGGAGAATGAAGTGCATCTTCCTTAGATGCAACAGAGTTAATAAGGACTGCAGCTTCTGCACTTCGGTCTAAATTAAGGAAATATGGGAATTTTCCTTTATGCTAGCACTGACTGCCCTGACCACTACAAGCAATGTGCTGTTGATGCCTATGTTAACTATGCACTTTTCCACAGCATCAGTTATAAAACGGTAGACGGGTAACTCAGCAGAGTGGTAAATCCTTGTCAACAACGGAACTGCTAATGAATATATGGAAGCCATCAAAAGGAATATAAACTGCCATGAAAAAGTCAACATTGCACTGATGAGCCTATCTTCTCGCCAGGGTAACCACATGTCCTCTCAACACTCCGAAACTCACTATATTCCTCCATTGATATTATAAATTAATTTCCTTTTTATATGCTAAGCTGAACATAGTGGAAGGAGTCAGGCCCTTCCTGACGTGTGTACGAGGATCCCGGGTTTGATCCTTGGGCGGGACAGAGATGAATGGACACATTTCCTATCAACTGATGACTCTGTTCACCTAGCAGTAAACAGGAACGTGGGAGATAGACAACTGTTGTGAGTTGCATTCTGGAGAAGGTCACTAGTTCGACCTACGGGTGCATCGATAGGCTTAAGTACAGGCTTCCTGTCCCAGACAACGGGAATTAAACTGAATTAAGTGTTACTAAGAGTAGAGGTGAGCTGTATATAGTTACTGCTGTATACCTTCAAACAAACTTACTGAGCTTGGACTAAATTAATATTTAGTCTAGTTACGTACCTTTTGATATCAAGATGAATGATTAATTTGATTTCACTTTATATAATGTAAGTTTTGGATTCAGTTTGTTTTTGGTTTATCTTCGTAATTATCAAAGTATAGGTCACGCAACGCACCTTTTCCTTCGTTAAATATAATTTAACGTTCAGAAGATATCAGATACAATGTTGGAACAATAACAAAGAATGCTGCAACCTCTCCCCAACCACTTGAGCTAGACGGTAGAGCGACGGTCTCGCTTCCTGCAGGTCGGCGTTCAATCCCCGACCGTCCACAAGTGGTTTGCCACCATTCCCCCCACCCCTCCGTCCCATCCCAAATCCTTATCCTGATCCCTTCCCAGTGCTATATAGTCGTAATGGCTTGGCACTTTCTCTATATAGTTCTCTTCTCCTCCCACCGCGAGAAAAAGGGCCGGCAGTTCGGGGTTGATGGGCCACCTACCGGAGACGTTCCCTGTGATGTGGGTGAAGACCTTGGGACCGTTCTGCTTCAGAGTTAGAGTGCCGCTCACTTCACTGCCCTTGGTCGTCCCAGACAATACACACATCGCCGTCCGGCTCTGTTGGGATACACACAGGTGAGAAGCGTAACACACTCCAGGAATATACATTTACAGGAAACTGCAGAAGGCCTATACGCGGCAGTTCCTATCAAGCAAACTCAATCATGTATTTGTAAAACATACACCTCAAAAAAAATCCATCGATCCCATCTATTATGTTACCAGGTATCTGTTCCTCCAAATCAACAACCCTGTTTCCAATCCAGCATTCACCCATGTCTTTCCTGAACCTAAGCTTCTCCCACTGTTTCCAGTTCTATTTTGTGTTGATATATTTAAAATTTAATTGATGTCCCCATTTCTTATACCCTTTCATCTCCTTACTCTGAGTGAAAGGTGAAGGCGAGAGAGAAGAAAACCCGTCCTCCTGTTGGTAGTCCCTATTGTGACGGTCGTCAATAGTCACGAATTAGTACATACTTGGCTTTTAGATAGTAGTATACTGACTAGTAAGGAATTATTTTAAAATAAATGAAGCTAAAAAACAAACTTAAATATTCCTAGGCCTAGTATAGCACACATATGTACTATATCAGGCCTCAGATATCGTGTATTAGGTCTAGAAAGGTTAGGTTAGTTTGTCAAAGCAACACAAGTAAAATATAGTTTTCCGGTTTGTTCAACTCAATAGCTCAGATTTCTATTTTCCACTTTCGTTGTACGTCGGTATATATACTATGGTCCTCGTCGTTACTGTAAGTACTACCACAACAGGAGGATGGGACACCAGAGACAGCCCCGCTCTTGTGCCAGGTAAGCTACGGGCTCACCATAGCCCGTGCTACTTGGAACTTGTTCCGAGTTGCTGAATCTATAACAACAACAACGGAGGATGGGCTGAAGAAAAACACACCTCACCAGCCAGCAGGAGTGTCACGACTGGCTCACGAATATCCTGTTGTTGTTGTTTTAGATTCAGCTACTGGGAACAAAACGTTCCAAGTAGCACGGGCTATGGTGAGCCCGTAGTGTACTTACCTAGCGCAGGAGCGGGGCTGTAACTGACAAATCTCCTATAAAGCAGTGATTAATATGACGTCAGTGGGTGTAGTGGACCAGTAAATTCTGGTTTTAGTGAACCAATAAGCACAAGGTGTAGTGAAAGAGTAGTTTAAGTATACTGTATAGCGAATCAGAAACAGAATGAGGATCAACAGGTACACAGGGATGTGAACCTAGATATACACACCTCGTTAGGGGAGTCCTCGAGCATCTGTGGGTGGGTGTACCACACGGCCAAACCAGCCACCAACGCCCCTATGCCGATGCACACCACTGCTGCTGCAACATATGCCACACACTTGCCCATAGCTGCTGCTGCTGCTTCTTGCTGCTCCTATGAGGTTCTGAGGACAAGGGTTGGGTAAGTGACTCTGGGTTCAAGTTCAAGTAAGTTTACTGAGCTAATAAGATAGTTTCAAAAAGGTTATAGTAGCTTAGGCTATTTCTACCTTTCAATACTCTGGACGATTGTGTGTGAATATCAACAGTGAGACATTGAGTGTTATTTTTTTCCACACAACTTTAATTAATTTATTATGGAGCTCATACTCATCATGTGAGCGGTAGTGACAAAGGTTACAGAGGCACTGAATGGGCTCAGGAACTGAACCTCAGCACTCGTTTAATTGCAGAGTTTGTTAAATATATACATCAAGTCCATTCACAGTTTTGGTTAGTTTACTCTTACTGTAATTATCATGAAGGTTAGTCACACAGTGAGTTGATAGTGACTGATAGATCTGACTCACAAAAATGATAATCCTAATTACACTGCTTTCCTCCTTGATAAATGCACAAAAATTAGTTCTCTTATCTATTTTGTCGGATATACAGAACTATGAAAGAAAATACGCAATAGAAGCGAAAGTACACTTAAGAGGTTAGTAATATAAATGTAGGTCGTGCTTGACTTTCACTTAAGGTATTTGATCACCAGTGAAGCTTTCGCGGTCGTGGCATTCTCTCTCTCTCCACGTTCCGATCAGTACTTCCGTCGCTTTCTCTCCCTCTCTCTCTTTTACAGTGGTAAGTACAGGAGCAGATGACTTCCGACTCTTATTAGCACGTTGAAAGCTTTCCCTGCTTTCTCCCCCCACCCCCACCCCATCATCTCCTCCCTCTCCCCTTCCCTCCGTCAACCTTCGCTTAAGACTCTCTTGCTTTCTCTCTCTCCCTTCCCCCCTCCGGGCCGACCCCCTTCCCACCGAACAATGCACAGTCCTGTCAACAAATGTTTTAAACTTCCGTAAATCTCGACAAAATATGCTTGAACATTTCGGTCATTGCGTTTTGCGCTAGGCCTACCGTATTGCGCTAGGCCTACCGTATTTCTCCTTAGTTTAAATATTTTCCTTAGTTGTAAATATTTAAATATAATATTTATGTGGAAAACTCTTAAACTAATAGTACTTTATTGCTAGATATTCTATGGCCTGATTTTTTTTAAATAGTAGTTACTTAAAAAAAAATTCACTGAAAGATGCCTCACGGTCATATTGGGTAGTAAATTTCGTAGATACTGATAGATATGTTGAACAGTGGGTTCTCTCCCTAGGATGTACAATGCCTCTATATATTATAAAGTTGATACTTAAAAAACTAACAGAGACTTCTGTTAGTAGGTTTTGGATGTGTACAATTGATTTGTTTTGACTATCGTTTAGGACACGGCAAGTAATTGTACTTCGAGTTCAAGTATGTTTATTGAGACAAGAAAAAATACATCTCAAAGGGATAAAGTAGCTTAGGCTGTTTCTACCCGCTCTATTTGTACTTACTTGCCTAGACCTCAAGGTAACCTCAAGGTAGAGCAACACCCTACAAGTTTATCGTAGCTTATCGTTCTGCCCATTTACTACATCCACGAGAGTAAATAAAAATTGAGTGGTGATAACACAATCTAAAACTACACAACTCTCCATTTTGGGTTGATTAACCTCTTAATTACTGAGAGCTGGTAAGAATGTTGAGGAGAGTCACCAGGTTGTGCTAGACATCATCGTACCTCGTCACTTTCCATCTCATGTGTTCAGGTATACTATTAGCGTCCGTTACATGGAAAGTTATCTTTCAACGACATGTTATTATCGATGTAATTACAGCATGATGTAATTTGACTGTGAATCATAATATATTGCAATTTTGCTAGCTAACCAAATGGAGCAGGATATCCAAAAAGCCTCAAAAATAATATCCTGTTTTAAATTACTCATGCACCTGAAAAGACTCTTGACTTGCATTGTCAAACACCACTTTGCGACCACTTTATTTTTACTTCATAAAACACATCAAAATTAAACACTGTGAAAGATTAATATATATTACTCAAGAGTGGTTTATATCACTATCACATCCACATCAATAAACCTCCCATTTCGTACCAACATATTATCACCCTCAGCCCTCAGCCCGTATTTAGATCTTAATTAAATTAACTTTAGATCTTAACAACCCGTAACTAAGATGTCAGCGAGGGACACGTGAACTTTGTCTTGCGATAACAACATGACCTTTAGCTGCGTCGCTCTCGTGATAAATACATCATGAACGACAATTTCACATTCTGGCTCTAGAATTACAAGTGACTGCAATAGTAGGTTATATATGTATGTATATTGCTTTCTCTCTCTTGTCTCTTTATTAGTTCTCAACTTCTCAGCCGTTGCACTTGCACATCATGCAAAGCCAAACTTTGCAAGCATGCAGAGGGTTGCTTCCAAATAATTCAGTATATATATATATATATATATATATATATATATATAAAAGTAGGAAATTTTATGTTACGTGCCTAATAGTTTATATACGGGGAAATTTAATATGAATTAGACTTTTCAATGAACATTTTGATGGTTGATACAAATATGCGTTAGCAAAAAAAATTAATGTCCTGTCCGGCTCCCGAGAAGCAAGAGGTTCTTGAATAATGTAATTACTTAAAATTAAGTGTAGTCACAGGATGAGATCTACGCTCGTGGTGTCCCGTCTTTCCAGTACTCTTTGTCATATGACGTTTTGAAATTAGATGTATGTAGATTTATGCAGATTATGACTCACAATGACGTAGTTAAAGATATGATGACTAAACCGCACACCAAAAGATGAAGAGACGGCGACGTTTCGGTCCGTCCTGGACCATTACAAGTCGATTGTGTGATCGACTTAATTATCACAATCGACTTGATAATGTGTCCAGGATGGACCGAAACGTCGTCGTCTCTTCGTCTTCTGGTGTGCGGTTTGCTCAACATGTGTAAGTTTGTGATACGCAATGTTTAATCTATTGGATTTTTCTTGAATTTGAACTGGTAACTAGTGATGTATATATGTTAGAAAACCACTCAACTCTATCGAACCATATCTTTATGTAACCACCCAACTCTATCGAAAAAATACGTACAGTAATACACATTTGTAAGCATTTGAATGATCCCTAAGCCATTGTACAACTGTAATTTCTATGACCCCTCTAGGAGTCAAACCCGGTACGCTTGAGGACTGAGAGAGGGTACCATACCCCATGGCAGTTTGGGACTATAACAAAGCCAGTGATTGTCTAAAGGCCTAAGAGCAGGAAGGACCACACGTCTATGGGTCATCCAATAAGGTTAGCAGACTTCTATATGTTACCACTGCAAGGCTGTTGGGATTGTTTTAGATTCAGCTACTGGGAACAAAAAGTTCCAAGTAGCACGGGCTATGGTGAGACCGTAGCGGACTTACCTGGCACAGGAGCGGGGCTGCTAGGTTTAGGCTCGGCTATAAGTACCTCTGGGAATTTGCAACATCAGCTGATGTAGATTTGACTAAATGTAAACTCTGTCAGCAGGACAATTCGCATACTTTGCGTCAATATATAATGGAATGTGAAAAAATCGCGGAATTCAGAGATAACACCATCAATGGAGTTCAAGAAATGTTTAAGTACTTCATTCATAATGATGTACTGCCAGGAATCTTAGCGAAGTATTCAAAATTTGCTTACTGTAGGTAATGCATGTACATAACTGTAAAGCGGCCGCCCAGATGGGTGGGTGCGGAGCAAGACTGGTAACTGTGTGACTCACCATAGATGTAAAGTGCCTTGTATAGAGACACTTGTGAGCCTCTTGTTGAATCACTTGTGATATAAAAAGATTAATGATATGTATATGTATTTGTGTACATGGATGTATATATATGTACATGTATATGTAACATTAACAATTGTGTAACTAGCTTCAAAAGGTTGTCATAGATTTAAACTAGCTAAACACAGATGCCGAAGAAATATAAGAAAATTCACTTTCGCAAACAGAGTGGTAGACGGATGGAACAAGTTAGGTGAGAAGGTGGTGGAGGCCAAGACCGTCAGTAGTTTCAAAGCGTTATATGACAAAGAATATTGGGAAGACGGGACACCACGAGCGTAGCTCTCATCCTATAACTACACTTAGGTAATTACTTGCTTAGCTTGTCGCATCCCGCTCACAGGATGGGTCTGGGGTACATAATAAAGAAATGTAATTGATCCTAAGACCCACATGCACCCAGCACCCGCCGACACTCTGGCGTATTTTTGGCCACAGTTATTTCACGCTAGGGGTCGCACTGTGCGTGTAAAGCTTGAATGGTCTCCAAGCCAAGGTACGATTGTAAACTCTATGACCCCCTCAAGGGTCATAGAGTTTATACATAGAACACATACACCAGACGACCAACCGGGAGGCCTGGTCGGAGACCGGGCCGTGAGGTTGTTGATCCCCGGAAGCTACACAAGGTAGGTAAGTACACACGAACACACATATTGTTTGAATGTATATTACCAAGGAATATAAAGGTAAGAGATTTGAGAGAGAAAACTAAATAATATACCAGCACAAACTGGATAGTACGACAGCCAACCCACACACCAATATCGACCCACAGGCAACAGGCAAGTGTTTGCAAACAAAGCAAGCATATGTGGCATGTGTACGATGACTTACGGTGAGGTTAGCTTAGGTTGGTTTGAACCGTTGAGTTAATGAAGTGCATTGTATGTGGCTTAAACAATATGTTGCAAGTAGGTTAAGAAAATAGAGCTGTATTTTTCTAGATAAAATAGACAATAGCCAAGAAGGTTAGGTCATATCTTTATACTGGGGCTGGCGCAGTCAGCTAGCAACTGATTTTGCTAGCGGAATCAACTGATTTCGGGATTGATGTTCGAGGGCGTGACTTTGGGAGTTTGTTTTCTTACACCTGATACCGCTGTTTACCTAACGGAGTCGACCTAACGGGCTTTAGTCAACTGCTGTTCAAATTCAAGTAAGTTTATTGAGAAAAGGGAGTACATCTCAAAAGGATAGAGTAGCTTAGGCTATTTCTACCTTCGTAACTACTAATTTTTGGTTACATCCTAGGGAAGGTCCGTCGCTGACCTTGGGAAATTTCGATTTTCAGGCTTTCTCTTCCTAACAGTGGGAAACAAATGAATTGTATAAGTGCCCTAACAGGACGGCACGTTCAAGTGGGTATTCCAAGCCACGACCAATGCCCAATCTGGTGTCGCCACGCACGAGATTGTGACTATTTTTACCAACTTATCAAATTTGATATTCCTAGTTTTAGCATTGGAAAGACGACCACGGGAGAATGACTCAATGAAAGCTGGTAAAATTCATTATGCAAGAAAGTCAGTTTCATTAGGATTAAAATATTAGTTTTATCCGAGACATCAGTTGCGTACAATTACAACAACAAAAATCCAGTCTTTCAACACATATCTTTGTTCAGATGTGGCGGATATCCTGAGGATGTCGAAGGCGACCTCCTTCACTCAACGTTTCAGACACAAACTCAACTAGAGTTTGATAGCTTTACTATTAACCACATATCATCAGCATAAAACGTTATTATGTACAAGAAACAAATAAAAAAAAAACGATGGTAACGAGTTATTTAAATGAATGTTTGAAAGAAGAGGAACGCTTCTATACCTATTTCTGCTCAAGTTTTCAGAATAAGACTTTTTCAAAATGAGGTAAATATATTTATTATGATGGACGTTAGGCTCTATAGGCTATGAAGTAAACCTTTCTAATTATTTACTTCTTGAGGTAAACAAAAATGTTCACATTAGACGGCAGTATTTTATCATATTTCAGGCCTGTTCTCTTATTACGTAATGAACATTATTAAAGACGTTCATGAAGTGCATAATAAATAACATTAACTGCAGGGCAATAAATAAGTATAATTAGCCTGCATGTAAAGGTTATTCACCATGAGGTCTATATTAATCATACAAAATGTATATTAATGTATGCATGTGTGTGAACATTCTATTAGTGAACATGGAAGGTGAGGAGACAAGAGGGAGGAATATAGAAGGGGAATTACGGGCTCACTATAGACCGTGCTACATTTTGTTCAGAGTTGCTTATTCTAAACCAACAGCAACAGAAGAGGGGAGCAGATGATGGGGGGGGGGTTGTGAAAGTGAACACCGTGACAAGGTGGCCTTGGTTAGTATCCTGGCCGAGGAGGATTGACTAGGCGCCAACCCTTAACTGTACACCTCTGTTCACCCAACAGTAAAATAGGTACCTGGTTACACACAGAAACCACAAGAGCGTGATGCATCAAATGAACAAATCCACAAGGGCCGTGACGAGGGTTCGAACATACGTCCGAGAGGATCCCAGACGCGCCTTAATCGACTCAGCTACGACATGGTATAAGAAATGCAACCGGGAAATCAACTTGACCTACCACGGATCCTGCAGTCTCTTCGAGACACAAACCAGGTTTTTACACAATTCCCCCATGCACCCGAGCTCTGTCAATAAGCTGTTCAACCTCTTCGCCCTTACTTCATTACACACAGAAATCACAATAGCGTGATGCATCAAATGAACATTTGATGCATCACGCTGCCACAAGGTGAACCTTACGAGGCTACACCACCACAAGGTGGATTTTATTTACCAGAAGGAGCCATCTCTCTAGTGGCCTCGATGAGGACAAGAAGCCAGCTGCTTGTCAAAGGTCACCTCAATTATCCTGGAATGATACTATTTCAACACTAAGAATAACTTCGATATAAGAGCAATTTGCACAGAGGTCTTGGCCCAGCCCGTTCTTCTAAGGTTCCCCAACGACAAGAAACTGTCGCACTAAAATGGCCTTATCCTAATCTACCAGAGGACCCAAAACAGAAAATGGGGACAGTACGTCACTTTCGCCAGCAGCTGCCATTTCCTAGTACGACAAATTTTGGCCTTAGGTGACGCATACGTTCGAAATGCGACGTTCTTTGTAAGAGGACATGTTAATTGGCCTCCATGTAGATGACAGGGTGATGTATATAATAATTAATATTTATGATTTGATATTATACTATGTTATGTATAGAGTATGTGATAAAGAATACATCGCCACCATTGTTTCGGACAAATACCACCTCCATTTATATCTGTTTATCGCATGTTAACAGCTGGATAACCCCGAATTGGTGTTTCCACATATACAGGTCAATTTTGGGTGTAGCAATGTTTCTATATATATATGTAACACTTCCAAGCACACGTTTAAATTCCTTTATAATGCACTACGACTCTCACAATGATACCAGAAGCACCTCGAACCGTTAAAAATTAAGGAGCATAACAGTGTAGCCGAGATATTTTCCCCTCCTTATACACTATTCCTCTGACGTTTTACCTGATCACACACCGATAAAAGATGATGATAGGGGACGAGAAGAGGAGCGACGAGAGGTACAGCAACCGGCGACACAGAAGGTGGTTGGGGCGACACTGACGTCCAGCAGCACGCCCCGGCCTCATATCCTCCGGATCACGCTGCCACAAGCCACCATTATTTCCTTCCCTTCCCTTCTTACTCAACAGGATATATCGCCACAATCTATAATTATACAACCTCATTGATTGACCCCTATGTCTCATGTCTTCCTAGTTCAAATACTGTATAAGTCTCAATATATTATAACTAAAAGAACCACTGCTTCTGAAGATGGTTCATTCCTGGAATTTCTAACTCAGGCTTCTGCCGACATCCTCTGATGTCATCTTTATATGTATGTGTTATTTATTTCTCAGAATATGGTGGGCGAACTTGGCTGACTAACTCATACGTGTCCCCCCAGGAAAAGGGCAGGTCAATATTCTTGACCACACCTGAGGACGCGTGCGTATTCACCTTTTCAAGCTACGCATTATTAAGCGTAACCTTGGGAGGCACGGGAAGGACAGCCACTAAATGGCATGTGCGTGCGCGCGCGCATGTGCTTACCTGTGTCTCCGGGAAAAGATGTGCCTCTTTAGAGTCATTAATGAAGATTAAGCCACTCCTAGAGGTGGCACGGGCATGAATAACCCGTAAATGATGCCTCTTTAGATATTTGGAAGGTTTGCTGGTTTTACCACGGGAGACATCGCCCGTCACGCAGGGTGCAGTCGCACCTCCACAGATCTCCAGTATCATCTCTTGATACTGGTAATGGCTCAAAAGGGCCACCACTTACGGGCTATTCATGCCCGTGCCACCTTTTGCGTGGCTTAATCTTAATCTTCATCTGGTTTTACCCACATAAGCCATCACTAACACTTCATGTATTACCAAATGACAGGCTAACCAAAGTTGAATTCATGGTATTTTCGCTTTCCTTATGTGATTTTTACATGAACGTTCTCGATGCCCGACAGATTTCATATGCTTGTGGAAATGAATTTTATTACAATTAAAAATTAAGCTTTGCAAATAATTTTAAGTTGTACAATTTGAACATTTTAAGTTTTTACTGAGCCAAAAAAAAACGTTAAAAGCTGTCTTTTAAATCTTATAAATATCTTTCCTGAGGCAGATATCAAATCCCTGAGCTCTGTTGATAGCGAACTGGCTTGGATAGCCTAACCAGTCTCTGTTGGTTCACAGTTGAACGATGATACACTTTTATTCGTTTCATTTTGGAGAAATTCTAATCTTCTGAGGCTGCGATGACAGAGATCGTTATGCCAGGCCATCTTAGTCCTGCTTAGATAGAACTTACAGTAACGATGTGGTCCATCGTACATGTAGTGAAGTAACGGACAATTAGAAAGTAGAATTTGGTACTACTGAATTTGGACAAGCCGGAAAAGATTTTTTGTATTTATGTTACTAATAAAACGCAATCTAAACCATTCTAGGTCTAATATATACGCTATCTGAGGCCTATTGTAGTATCAACATATGTTAAACTAGGCCTAGGAATAATTGAATTTGGATTTTACCATTATTTTTTCCGGTCTACAATGCGAATACCAAATTATATTATATAATTGTCCATTACGTCAATATATGTACGATAGTCAACATATTTACAAAGAGAACTATTTAAACATGAAAATGAGTTGCATTATGCGATATTCAAAGGACGAGTATATGATAATTAAAGAGACTGCGAAAGCCAATTTGTCCAAACGAATCAGCTGCTATTTATACCCACCCAAACTCATTCATATAATTTGTAATCCATTGTGTCGGGGGGACAGGAAGCCAGAGTGTATTCATACACGTTAGGCTTTTATCGAGTATGTTACCCGGTAAATTTATCTATAAATCTATAACCCGTCTTTGTATCTATTATTTCGTGAGGATATATTTAAAATCTTGTTTATATCCTCTGTGTTATATATTTTTATCCATTTGTGTGTAAATCACGAAAAATTAACACGTGATGAAAAATGTGACAGTGTCAGACCACGGAGGAAGAATTGAAGCAAGAATTTCCTTAAGTACTTTCATATATAAATACATTACTGATCTTCAGAAGGAACTTTATCCATCTGTGTGCTTCAACCATGTCTCACCCTGACTCTCCGTCTTGCAGCACACTCTACTTAAACACTCTGGTATCCCCAGGGTCACGCTAATAAGAGCCAACACATCAATTATGCATATAATTTAAGAATTCATTGTGTCGGGACAAGGCATCCGGTGTATAAATATACATGCCAGTGTATATATATATCAAGGCCCCTTGTGGATTTGTTCATGCTAGGCTTATATATACACATATTTCTGTCCCGTCCGGAATTCGAACCCGGAATTCCCGAGTGAGTCAAGAACGAACCAGAGAACACCGGCGATGGATAACACAAACCTGCTTCCGGTTAGATATTAACGCTTATTTCCGTTTCTGATTTCCACCCATACTCTCTCATCTTATTTATCACTCCTGCTTCTGTCCAACTTGTCTATTCCCCCTCAATATTTTGTATGTTATGATTGTGTTTCCTCTGGTTTTTAAATCTATGATTATGTTGAGCTAAATGTGGCTACAGACTGAGCGCTACGTACGCACCTGGTGTCCCGTCTTCCCAGTACTCTTTGTCGGATAACGCTTTGAGACTACTGGCGGTTTTGGCCTCCACCACCTTCTCACATAACTTGTTCCAACCGTCTACCACTCTGTTTACAAAGTAGACCTTTCTAGCAAAACGAACACCAACAAAACCGGCACATTTGTTTCCTTAGATTGAATCTACGACCTCTTGTTCTTGAAGTTGCAGGATTCAATAATTCCTGTCAATTTTGTTGATTCAAGTTACTATTTTGTACGTAGTGATCATATCACCTCTTTTTCTTCTATCATCTAGTTTTGGTATATTTAAAGCCTCTAACTTCTTCTCGTAGCTCTTCTTTTACAGTTCTTGAAGCCATTTTGTAGCTACTAGATTCTAGGAGGAATTGATACGGTAGATAAAGGTATTATTTAACTTAGGTGGTACACGCACAAGGGGACACATGTGGAAAATGGTTACCCAAATGAACCACAAAGACATTAGAAAGAACTTTTTCAGTGTCAGAGTAGTTAACAAATGGCAGTGGTACTAAAGTACTTTAACCGTACTAAAACTATTGTAGTAAAAGGTACTAAAGTACATTTTTTAAAGTAAAAACAGTACTAGGCGGTGATGTGTGATGTGGTGTAGGCAGACTCCATACACAGTTCCAAATGTAGATATGGTAGAGCCCAATTGGTTCAGGAATCTGTTCACCAGTTGATTGACGGTTGAGAGGCGGGACCAAAGAGCCGAAGCACAACCCCATTAAGCACAATTGGATGAGTACACACATACACACACACAAGAACAAGATGACATATGTTCCAATTAAGGAAACAAAGCTGCCGAAATAGCATTAGAAAGTGCATTTTAGACAGTTGAAACAGGCGGTGGAAGCCTATGAATGTTGACGTCACACCAGTGTTGACCCAGGCCGTGACGTCACCGGAACATACCTGGTGACGTCACAGTTGAGGCTCCAGGCAGTGACGTCACCGGAACTTACCTGGTGACGTCACAGTTGAGGCTCCAGACAGTGACGTCACCGGAACTTACCCGGTGACGTAATAGTCCCTTGGCGCCCCTTCCCATGTTTGTGTTCATCTTCAACAAATGGCGAAGGTGTTAATTGTGGCGATGATGATGCTGAACATATTGATGAAGTTAAATTATAAACCTCACTCTGGGTATATAAAGATGACCAACAAACTGATAAATACTCATCACTATCATTGGGAATATTAATATATAATAAGCTCCTAAGCCTCTATACAATGATCACCATATGGCAGCAGCCGCGTTGCCACCTGTAGCCTACCAATATAATAATAATAATAATAATAATAATAATAATAATAAGAGTAATACTAATAATTCATTGTGTCAGGAACAGACAGCCAGTGTATATATATACATGGATGCAATCCCACAAGAAGTGTGTTCAGTATTAAAAACAACATTAATGTTGTTTTAACAGCAATATTAAACAAAAAAGTTCAACACAGCTGACTAACTTCAGGGGACCTATTTACTGCTAGGTGAGCAGAAGCATTAGGTAACAGGAACTGTAACGTTACGTAACATTAGGTAACAGTGGTAGTTGCAGTGCTACAACTACCATTATTCCTCCCCCTCAACACTACGGCAAGATTCCAATAAAATATATCTTATTAAAGATAATTATATACAATATAATCCTCATTCTCTTAACTTAACAATGACACACAGGAAAAGGCTAGGCCAACTTTGATTAAACCAACAGGAGACGAACCGACCCAGGAGCTAGAGCCACTAAATGGACATCTTCCACAACCACTACTACTTGGGCTAGGCTGTACAGCGACGGCCTTGCTTCTGGCAGGTCCGCGTTCGATCCCCGACGGTCTAATTGGTTGGAGACCATTCCTTCCCTCCGTCCTATCCCAGTTCCTTGCCCTCATATCAATTCTACCACTGACTACCACTGCGTCAGATACAAAACTATACAAACTCTAATAGCACAAATTCACGCGAAAAAAAATAAATAAAAGACTAATTAAAAAGTAATACAAATAAACTAAAAAGTTGTTTTTTTGAAAAAGCCCCAGAACAAAAAAAAAGACTATTTCAGAACGTGTGAGATAGGAGGGAATACATCAGCTTAATCGTATTTTCCCCTGAATACGACCTGCCAAATTGTATACCCATTCACTGCTGGGTGAACATAGGCTACAGTTAAGGATCGGCACCCAGTCAATCCTTCCCGGCCAGGATACGAACTCAGGCCAAAGCGCTTGCGAAGCGCTGAGTGTTTTTACTACTACGCCATGCAGGGGACTTCTTACTAAACAGAGCATAAGTCAGTTTGTTGTTATAGATTAAGCTATTCGGAACAAGTTCCAACTTAAGTCAGAAGCAAACGCTTAGTGTATATGTCCCGAGGCGCAGAAGGCACAGTACCTCTCCGTACTTGAGAATTATCTAAATATAACCGCCTCTGTAGGAACTATTGCAACTGTAGCACCGGTTTGCCAATTATCCGACTATCACTAAAAGTACTGGGGTGCCAGCTCTACAATAACCACCTGTAGGCTCCACCTGTAGGTGATTATCTACGATACTGTGTTGTCAGCTTTTCGATAACCACTGGTGGGAAATTTACACTGGATTGTCAGCTCTGCCATAACTAACTGTAGGTTCTGTAGTACTGGGTTGCCAGCGCTACGATAACTAACTGTAGGCTCTGTAGTACTGGGTTGCCAGCGCTACGATAACTAACTGTAGGCTCTGTAATACTGGGTTGCCCAAGCTACGATAACTAACTGTAGGCTCTGTAGTACTGGGTTGCCAGCGCTACGATAACTAACTGTAGGCTCTGTAGTACTGGGTTGCCAGCGCTACGATAACTAACTGTAGGCTCTGTAGTACTGGGTTGCCAGCGCTACGATAACTAACTGTAGGCTCTGTAGTACTGGGTTGCTAGCTCTACGATAACTACATAGGCTCTGTAGCACTGGGTTGCCAGCTCTACGATAACTACATAGGCTCTGTAGCACTGGGTTGCCAGCTCAACGATAATTATATAGGCTCTGTAGCACTGGGTTGCCAGCGCTACGATAACTAACTGTAGGCTCTATAGTACTGGCTTGCCAGCTATAAGATAACTAACTGTAGGCTCTGTAGTACTGGGTTGCCGGATCTACGATAACTATATAGCCTCTGTAGTATTGGGTTGCCACTCTACGATAACTATATAGGCTCTGTAGCACTGGGATGCCAGCTCTACGATAACCAACTGTAGCAATGGCTTCATGACCAACGAACTTCACCGGAAGTGAGAGTGGTTCAAGACCTCCATCATGGACTAGCCAATTAACCCACTATATCTGAGGACGCTATTCGTTGTGTCGGGGACAGGAAGCCTGTGTATATATGTATATATACTTTAGGCTCGTATCGAGGTCGCCACCAAGGCCGCAGCCCCACAAATTAATTACCCTGCAGTTGTTTAACTCCTACAGGGTAATTATATACTGCTAGATGAGCAGAGGCATTAGGTGAAAAGAAATATGGCAAACCATTTCTGTAACTACTTGTGAAGGAGGAAATGTATATGTTTACCTCTCAGAATGTTTGGTAATGTGTTTATTTGTGATGTGTGTCTATGTATATATTAACACGTTGTACTGAATGGGGTGAGAATAGCTTGAGCTACCTCATCCCTTTGTGTGTATTTTACCTCAATAAACTTATTTCAATTTCAATTTCAATTTCTGTAACGTGCTACATGCAAGAGTATTTTTCGTGTATTTCATGATGCTATGAAATACACAAAAGAGACTATATACACGGAAGCCACGTGGACTCGTAGAGGACGCTACATAATATCTTGTAAAACATGTTAATTAATAATTACCTGGGAAGTAAATGGGTCTCCAAGTAGCGTCGTCATGTACACAACAGCCTGCGAGAAAGCGGGCTGGTTCAAGGTGTGCGTGTCATCTTAATATGAAGTTAGAATCGTAATTATGAAGTCTGTTTGAGCGCTTGTATATTATTAAGGTCAGATATGAATAACTTGAGAACGTTCTCATGATCCACTAATAGAAAACGCGGACTGGTCGATCAGTACATAACTGTTTCGGATAACGCCTGTTCGGTACACTAAAAAAAATCGTTCACTGACAAATTTTTATCCACGAATCCTTTCGTACACACATATGCGCTGGCAACCCTCTGTAACCCTTTCCACCACCGCCCACGGGATGGGTATAGGGTGCATAATAAAGAAAGAAATTGAAATAAGTGATGTGATGGACCAACCCGTCCTCGACTCAAGTCCATTACATTCAGCGGTCGACCCCACAGACGCATTCATAAATTTTAACATGCTGTTCATTCAAAACGGGAATTTTCTCAGGTATAAATTAATATTATAATATATTAGCATATTGTGTATATATAGGCATAGGATAGGTTAGGTTAGGTGTTTAGGTTCTGTTGGCGATTATTTGTATTTGTAGTACGTGGGTGAAGCATTTATAGCGTTGTGATTCGAACAAAATTCGTCAGTGAAGCACTTGTTCCGGATATGTTCGAATGTCAGCAGTTGTGAGTCGTGTGTAAACCGCTTTTCATTCATAAACAGGGGGTTTGGCGGGTGCATGGAATCACTTTTGGATCTTTGTTTGGAGGACGGGCTGGATGGACATAATCCGGGCTTCATAAGAACCAGTGAACACTTCACATATAAAGACCCACAAACATGATCGAACGCACAAAACACTAGACAGTAGAAAGGCTGATACAGAGGTACATATAAATGTATGCTAGGACTATTTTTATTATTTACATTATTTAATAGCTTTTACTCTTTTAAGTGACAGTTTAAGGGAATTATGTAGAGAGATATATAATTATTACTTAATAATTTTCGTGGATAATGAACGCAGTGTTGTTTACATGTTGTTTGGCACACTCTTGCTGCAATTTGTTAAGATCATCTTTTTTTGCCTTATTTGTAACTTGATTCTGTTTACCGCTCATAACTTTAATCAATATTTTAAATTAGTATATTGGTTTGAGTTAAATAAGGGAGTAGAGGCGAGGGAGGTGAAGTGAGGAGAGGTGAAGTCTGATCGCCACCGCCGCCGCCATACCTCACCAAGTGCTGAGATGTTCTCCCTCTCGAAGGTGCGTACTCGCTCCTGCTATGTCTACTGCTCGTCTGTGCCAGTCTCCTCTCTGTCTACTGCACGTCTGTGCCAGTCTAGCCTCTGTCTACTGCACGTCTGCCAGTCTAGCCTCTGTCTACTGCACGTCTGTGCCAGTCTAGCCTCTGTCTACTGCACGTTTGTGCCAGTCTAGCCTCTGTCTACTGCACGTCTGTGCCAGTCTCGTCTCTGTCTACTGCACGTCTGTGCCAGTCTCATCTCTGTCTACTGCACGTCTGTGCCAGTCTCCTCTCTGTCTACTGCTCGTCTGTGCCAGTCTCATCTCTGTCTACTGCACGTCTGTGCCAGTCTCGTCTCTGTCTACTGCACGTCTGTGCCAGTCTCGTCTCTGTCTACTGCACGTCTGTGCCAGTCTCGTCTCTGTCTACTGGACGTCTGTGCCAGTCTCGTCTCTGTCTACTGCACGTCTGTGCCAGTCTCGTCTCTGTCTACTGGACGTCTGTGCCAGTCTCGTCTCTGTCTACTGCTCGTCTGTGCCAGTCTCCTCTCTCTACTGCTCGTCTGTGCCAGTCTCATCTCTGTCTACTGGACGTCTGTGCCAGTCTCGTCTCTGTCTACTGGACGTCTGTGCCAGTCTCGTCTCTGTCTACTGCACGTCTATGCCAGTCTCGTCTCTGTCTACTGCACGTCTGTGCCAGTCTCGTCTCTGTCTACTGGACGTCTGTGCCAGTCTCGTCTCTGTCTACTGCATGTCTGTGCCAGTCTCATCTTTGTCTACTGGACGTCTGTGCCAGTCTCACACTGTCTACTGCACGTCTGTGCCAGACTCACACTGTCTACTGCACGTCTGTGCCAGACTCACACTGTCTACTGCACGTCTGTGCCAGTCTCACACTGTCTACTGCACGTCTGTGCCAGTCTCACACTGTCTACTGCACGTCTGTGCCAGTCTCACACTGTCTACTGCATGTCTGTGCCAGTCTCACACTGTCTACTGCACGTCTGTGCCAGTCTAGTTCACTTATATATATGAGTAAAATTATGTTTTTTTCATGTTCTGTGTTCAGCACCAACATTGCATTAAATTTGATTGGATTGTGTATTCATAACTAAATTTCATTGTAAAATATATTTGTTTACTGCTTTAGCAGGTAGCAGCAAGATGTGGCTGTATGGCGAAGCGTTCACTCTCCTGCTCGGTGGCAAGATGTGCCATCCAATTTGAACCACCATATTTAGATGTAAGTGAAGTACAGCACATGTTATATTATCAATAATGAGTACTGTATGCTTTTGGAAATTGTATTATAGCATTATGTTCATGTTGTACTTGTTAAAATACACAACAAATATTTACAAAAGCTGTGTGTAATAATTTACTATTATATATGTTATGGATATTGCAATAAATACTGTATACAAATATACTATACATAACTATGTTTTCCAAAAAACATTACCATACATTACATGTGTGTAGTCTGTATATACAGTATTTCTGAGCTGTCTCATTCGGTGGCCCTCTAAGGCAAGATTGTTTCTGGTCCCATAGACAGGATCATGCCCACTTAGGACAGCAAGGCAAGAGAGCACTAAAGAAATACTCAAACTAGCCTGGAATAACCTCTTTTGAAAGTCATTCATAAATATTCAGAGCCCTTTCTATGTCTATTTAGGTCGTGGCTTGCCTAGGCTCTTTATGGTTACACTGTACAGGATTTATTTGTTCTTTTCTTTTTCTGGACACAGGCATACCTTAGCCTTTCTAGTCATAGTATTAGACAGATTTAGGGTAGAGATAACCAAAAAATTTAATCCTGGCTCCTGGGCATCTTGTCCATTCAGTACTGCAGTTCAAGGCAGACGTCCTGCTGACCTGATATTAGTATAAGTCAATACAGGTACAGTATTTAACTCTGTCACGTTGACCATACCTGGAGTGGGTTCTGGGAGTTGTTCTACTCCCTAATGATGGCCTGACTTGTGATACCTTAGTGGTGGAGTAAGTGACTAGGGGGGTGGTTGGGGCAAATGACTGGGGACAGGTGGGTGACTGGCATGGGGGGCTGAGTGCATAACTCGAGAATACAGTACAATGATTATCAAAACTATGATCGAGTATCTTGGATGACTGTCATACTGAGTTGACAATCATTCCTTCTGTTGTCAGTATTTTTTCTGTTGAAGTCAAGGCAGATTTTATCTTCAAGTGTGCCCAGTCTGCCCATTCTTGATACACACACTGCTTGTAAAACAGTGCTGAATTATGGGCTCATGTGCTAAAATATCAGTGATGGAGATCTTGGTTTTCAGCTTTTGTAGAAGCATCTTTGTAGAGTTGTAAATGAGTCTCTGGAATTGATACATCATGTTCAGAAGGACTCTGCTTGAATCCTGATTTTAGGTACTTTGGGCATTATTACTGCAGACACTAAACATCTTACTTCCCATCTCCTTCCTGTGGCTGTAGGCACAATGAAACTCCAATCTTCTCTTATCCAGGCACTTGCAGCTTAAGGGGGTTGGAGGCTGGTAATTCTGTTTCTTCAAACATCACACCACTGTCAATCATACAACCATAAAACTTCATCCACCATATGCTCAAAAGCACACCCGAACCCACAGCCACATCCACGATGTGACCACTTCCACCAACTCGCTCACACATGACCCCGCCCACCTCCATGATGTGACCACTTCCACCAACCTACCCACACATGACCCCACCCACCTCCACACATTCCAACCCCACCTCTCTACACCCTAACCCATACCACCCAACCTCTGACCTCTTCACCCTATCCCACACTGCCCAGTCCCACTTTTCTACACCCTAATCCATACTGCTCAATCCTGTTTTTCTACACTCTAATCTACACCACTTACTCCAATTCACAAATCCATCTATGCTCATTCTCCCTCTCAGTATGTACAATAAACTAAAAGGTTAGAGGGTCCTTAAACTTACAAACACCAATCCTTACAAATGGCCTCCCAAATCCCCATTTTTACATCTAGAGACTGGAGCTTGGGAAAGGCATTGTATGTACTAGCTCTATCTATATAACAATCCATTAATGTAACATCACTTGTATGTATGTATGTACCTTACCTGAATAAACATATTTATTTATTTATTTATTTATTTATATTGAACATGCAAGTGAAAACTTATGTGTGAAAATATCCATCATGTGAGTGGTCACTCGGTAAACTTTGCTCATAGAGAGTGGGAATAAGAGGGTGTGAATGGTATGTCCTTTAATTTTACTCAGGAGTAGTTTTGGAGGTGCCACTGTATTATGAAGGACAAGACTCAAATTTAAGCAATCTACAGAAACTGGTGACACTGAAGATGGTCCACCAATTTCTGCCCTCCACTTATCATCACCTTCTATTGTCTCTTCCTTAACTAATTAGAACTTTTCATCCTTCAAAAGGCATAGTTAGGCAAGTAGGGAAACTCCCTCAAAGTATAAAAAAAAAAAAAAAAAAAAAGGGGGGGGGGCGGGAGGTAGGTAGGTTTTTAGTGTATTATTTTTCCTACGGATCTGTTTATATGTTGATTTTTCATGGTCCAGGAATGCATCCCTCATTTATAGTATTGTGTCTGGGAAATTTGACTGTGTTCTGAACAGCCAACTTGTGAAAACCTTTTTGTAACACATCCCATTCGTAAGTTGGAGACTGCAGTGCTGTATTGCTTGTACTGTGAGATATTCATGGTATACCTCTATCAACTGCACTCTGAAAGTTTCTTAATTATTAAAATGAATAATAATTTTTGCAGGCAGAGGGCCCAGAGGTACCAGAGTATCCTCTAGTTAATGTACAAATGAAGGGCTATGACTTTACGGTGTTGGAACATTATGGCAAGTGGGTCCACAACACTGCACTCAACATGGATATTGATGTTGAAGACAGGTAAGTTGTGTGTTATCATCATCATTGCTGGTTTTCCTACTTTTATAAGGTTGGGACTAGGGAAGCATCAGCCTAGGGAAACAAGGGAATCAATATAGTACAGTAAAAGGTTATGGATACTGTATTTCAAAACATCACCAGTCTATTCATTACTGTAGAAATTGGTACTATTGAATTTGGACAATCCGGAAAAGTTTTTGTACTGATGTTACAGAAAAAACTTAGCATGTATTTACTCTAGGAATTTTATGTTATCTGAGGCCTAATATAGTACATGTGTGTGCTATACTAGGCCTAGGAATATTTAAGTTTGGATTTTAGCTCAGTTTTTTTTTTGGACTCCTGTAAAGGAAATACTGTAGTATCAAATTCTAATACTGTATCTAATTGTCAATTACGTCTACGTATGTACAATGGTCCACGGTTACAAAAAAGTACTACAGTATCTAAACAGGAGGAGCGGTTGTATATTGGGTGTTTAATAAATTCCAGTGAATGTGGGCTTGTGAAAAAATTATAAGCTCCTGCATATAAGAGCCTCATATGCAGGCTTACGGGCTCTCGTATGAGAGCCTCATATGCAGGCTTACAAGCTCTCGTATGAGAGCCTGCAGATGTGCTTCTCACCCGAGTTATGCAACATCATATTGCTCTTTTTACTTTTTATTGTACTAGAATTGTGTTTGAGGGTTAATAATGTATGTCCTTGCTCTCTTTCAGCTGGGCAACACCATGCCAAAAGCTCTTCATCCAGACTTACAAACCTAAAAGTGCAAAAGTGGAAGCTGAATACAATCTTCAAATTTATGAGCGAACTGTGCAGGTGAGAGCATACCTCCACTTGTAACTGGACCCCAGTGTGCTGTAGGCTATGCAATTATAACCATGTTGATATTGTTTAATACAGTTTTCAGATTTTTATTGGGAAGTCATTATGTTGATGAAGAAGATAAGCAGGATTAAATCATTGCAGTATCTTGCATAATAATTGTTAGAATAAGATTGTTTAGTATTAAACAAATATAAATGTGCCTAAACAAATATGTACAGTACATACATACCAACCCGTTCTAGCGAGCATTCCCAACGTCAAGAAACTGTCATATTAGTGCCTTAACCAGCAGGCCAGCCAGCCAGCCAGAGGACCCATGATCAGAACATGGGACATTATGTCAATGCACAAAGAAATCACATTGTGATAGAAGGATTCGAACCTATGCTCTGGGTACTCCCAAGCACACATCTTAGACCACTACACCATAACATGGTCAAAAGCAATGCAACCTGGGATTCAACTAAATTCTCTAGGGGCCCTGGGGCTTCAGCTGAAGCCAAGTCAGGGTTTTCACGTAATGCCCCCTTCCCTCATGGACTCTTGGTGTGGTCTAGGAGTTCACCTCCGACACTCTACTTTAAATGCACAAAGAAATCACATTAACGTGATGTATCAATGAATTTCTCACCAATACATCACGTTAATGTGATTTCTTTGTGCATTTGAAGTGGAGCATTGGCAGTGCACTTCTAGACCACACCAAGAGTCCATGGGGCAATGTGTGAAAACCCTGACTTGGCTTCAGCTGAAGCCTCAGAACCCTGGGAGAATTCAGTTAAATCTCGGGTTGCATTTTTTTTTTACCATGTCGTAGTGTAATGGTCTAAGGCATGTGGTTGGGTGTACCCAGCACATAGGTTCGAATCCTCCTCATGGCTCAGTATGTCAATTTCAAGAGCCACTACCATATTCTTGTATATCAGTTTGTGGCCTTGGGTAAAGTATACGTCGAATGTGACATGCTATAAAGAGAACAGGTTCCCCACACGTGCACAACACTAAAACTGAAGATAACTTTGATAAATGTTAAATTGTTGATGCTATTATTAACTAAAGCTGGCCACACTACAGGTAGAGCAATGGACACACACATTATAAATATTGTACAGTGTTAAAATTCAAGTTGTTTTAATAATACAGAATGGGTTAGGTTTAAACTAATATTTGCATTTCACTTGACAGCTGGCTGATCTACCATCGATCATGGCTCCTTTATTTATTGATGTGATCCAGGCAGGACTTCCTCAAGGAGTAGAACTAACTGTTCTGGAACACATGCCAGAACACACAAAGGTACGTCACCAAGGTGTTACTAAAACATTCTATCATGTTACTGGGATGTAAAACTTTCAAGGGTTGCATATGAATTATACGCTTACACTGATAGGAATAAATATTTTGATAATGAGATATTTAAGATGTGAATACAGTATATCAAGGATTTGACCAGCTACTTAGGCTATCAGATAATTTATGTAAATTTTCTTGATAGCCAACATTTGTAGTTAGTGACTGGGGCAGGATAAGGAAGGTGGCAACTTGTAATTTTATTCTAGCTATACTTTGAACTATAGCATTATTTTGGTTTTTACAGCTTCAGTGGGTTTCCACTGAAGTTCCCAAAGACTTTCCATATAGCTTCAGTGAGTTTCCACTGAAGTTCCCAAAGACTTTCCATGAGTTAAAATGATTAGTCTAAATGTGGAAAAGCATCTGTTGCCTGTCCTACATTGTGGTGTGGTAAGCTTCAAGCTGTTCCTTCTTGCGAGAGATGGCATACAATTTACAAAAGTGGTTTGGATAAACATCATTTAACTTGTACAATATTTTAAGTCTGTTAGATCAGCTCGTGTCTTGTTTGCAGATTTCATATTCCTGAGGTACTTTGCTGTTCCTGGTGCGAGAATTGACTTAGTTTTGGGATGAATGTTTGTTCTTCTTTGCTGAACTTTTTCCAGTGCTTGTCTGTCACTGTCTACAGGAGGCGAGATGTAATTCTTTGGTCACTACCACTTGCCTATTTGTAAGTATTGGAATGCATTTTAAATCTCTTGACAGGGCTTTGGAAGGAGTGGACAACAGATGTCACACACTCGATGGTGAATCTATTCTGACCCCAACAAAATATGCAAGAATAAAAAATGTAGCTCTTGAAGTTAAGACACCTTTAACAGCATCACTTCATGTTACCTAAGCAGTGTAATGTATGTATCTAAAGTGCATCAACATATAGCGAATCACAAAGAGGCAGCGTATTAAGGCCTCACAAGACTTAACACCTGAAAGCTGCCCATGCAGAGTATTGCATGTCTCTAAAGTGCTTTGCCCATGTGCCAAGCACCGGGATGCCAAGCAAGACCTCATGCTTGGCATCCCAACTTAATGCAAACCATACCACCTTAAGGAGAGTTGTGCACATCTCCAACATTCTTCACCCTATTTGCCAAGTACCAGGACAAACAAGGTCTACATGGCTTATAGCAAGTAACCAGATCTACAGTCTGAGGAAGAAACCCAGGTGTCAGGGCAAAAGTGCTTAGCTATCCCAAACCTTATCCTGTCTGAAATCCCAACAAAGGAAGGCCCCCCCCCCCACTTTGCCAAGATGTGACTTGTTGGGTAAACCACTAACCATGCTCACATCACAAATGGTAGGGAAGGGCCATATGTACCCAGTCCTGCATATTCTAGGATAGTTCAGCTTTCTTGTGAATGAGCCAAAGTTAAGCTCATGCCATCAAAACATGTTCAATGACGGGTTGCATATTGAATTTCCAGGGCTGCTTTCCTCTGTCTGCTGGAGTTGGCCCAGGAGCATTTCTTCTCTCACATTTAATTGTTTCAGACACACCAGCTGGGCATAAGGTTCCCAACCAGCTCATTGGGTGTTTCAATTTTCCCTGCATGGTTTTTCCTCTGGGTTGAGTTAATGGAAGACTCTGCAATCCCTCATTCATTTGGCTGCTTGTGTCCGCCTCGGGAATTGTGTAAGTCTAGCCTCTTTGCCTTGGGACCTTTTCAGGCTTTTCAGAGTTGAACATCCTCTAGTTCTTTTAGTTGTTGTTGTGAATTAAGGGGGCGACAACGATCGTGGGATCAGATGCGCCCCAGCATACCCATAAAGAGTTAATTGCAAATCCCAATGGCGAAACAATTGACGCGTAACACCAGAAACTAATATGCCTCACAGCAAATAAATGCACAGACAGGCAGATGACTGGGGAGCCCAATCATCCACCCACCAACTCCCGGCACCTCACAGCCAGGCCAGCGCCAGACACTGTCACCCTGCCAAGAGAACCAGCCAGAAAATGTGACAAAAAATAGTCTCGTGACCCAAGGAGATATGTGCGCCAGGCATCGTACAAATTGGACCGTTAAAAGGAATGCCAGACGGCAGTATCAAATCTAAAATTGCAAAACAGAACGTGATCCGGCAGCTCCCAGACGGAGGTGCCCAGATGTCCGCTAACCATCAAAGTTGAACCAGGAGTCCCCTCTAGTTCTTTGTTGCTCACGTTTTTCGCAGGCGTAGCAAACAAAGTCCAGTGTGGCATGGGGACATGTGACCAGTCACCAATACTGGTAAGGTCACCGGTTTCTGACTCAAGCAGGATCTTGCCTGCACGTGAGGTTGTTGACAGTACCATACTTCAAAGGTGGATTTGTTGCATTGGCCTGGATCCAGCAACTTGGCTTGTGGTTCTGTTTTTGGATGAGCATGTCATGGCTTTGGATGCTATTACATCTGGTCCAGGGTGAGGGGAAGGTAAGTTAAGAGAAGAGGCTCAACAACTGTAGTGCAGCAGCCCATTGTCTCGCACAACTAGGTGAGTAAAGGCACACAAGGACATGCATACATGTACATACATTATTTCCTGCATGATATACTATAGTTATTTAATGAGTGGTATATTCTCTAGGTGCGGTACATCCCAGACTTGGAACTAAAAGATCTACAAAAGCAGCTTGGCGACCTTGGAGGATCATCCAAAAAATAATGCAGTTTAGATGTAGTGGTGCTTTTGTATATTTTCTGTACAGTAGTTAACACTTTAGCATGATTACAATGTTAATAATGAATAAATTTTGAAAACACTTTCATCTAGGATGCATAGGTATGCAACAATTTTCAAAGATTATTCTTTTGACAAATCTTGGAGCTGGGTAATTGAGTCACTGCAACATCCCCAAAGTTTAATTTGTTAAAGAAGCACGAAGTATTTTGAGGCTATTCCATTCATGACACAAAAATATGGAGAGAAATAGTTTTAAGATTGAAGCTTGTATATTTTAACACCAGTCTATTTAAAAGTTTATTTGGATAGAAATAAATTTCTTTAAAATCTTTGTGAAGGCAATAAGGTCTTTTTAAGTTTTATTTATTTATTGCATCCATGTTGTTTTTTGCCAATGCAATTTACAGTTATATGATGGTATTATTCAACAATTTGTACAAAAGTTGTAAGAATGAACTGCCAACAGTATGCACAACATTCAAACACAGTAGACTCATGATTGTGTGGATGTGAACCTTGGCTTCAGTCATCACCCTGCTAACATCTTTGTAATCTTTAAAAGAATACAATATACATATTGTTGTTATTGCTATATCCTTTGCTTACCTTTATGTTTGGGCTCTAGTATTTTATTAAGGATCTTTTGGGAAAATTGGATGAATTTCAGGACCATGGAGTTTTCCAATAAAGATTTTCTGAAAGGGCTGAATGGTGCCTCCCTGGAGTTAGGTCGCCGAGGTAGCTCCGTATTTGAGTCACATCAGTCTTAGGAGTCCTTACTGGCCTACTGGAGACCAGAACATGGCCTCCCCTCACAGTGGCTCAGATGCTGGGGATTGTTACGATCACCCTCACCAAGGAAACATCCAGAAAGTAATCGAAGCAAAACAAACAACTGCAAGATACAGACAAGGGAAAACAAAGTAGCAAATGGCTCTACAAACCATCCACCAAGTACTTGGGCTGAAACCACTAATTACAGTTCACCACCACCAGATGGCAACACCTTTGGGAGCCCCAGCTCCCCATGTCAACAGAGCTCAGTCCGATCACTAATGTCTATCTGTCTTTGGACTGCTCCTTGAGTCACCAGCCTACTTTGGTTGAAGCCTCCATGTTGGTATGGGTTTATTTTATTTTGTAGTGATGAGGCTACAGAGGTGACAGCTACTTCAGGTTCGTTTGCCCATTGGTGTGGCTTTGTGCTCAAGTGGTTGCCCTGGAGCTGGTCCACCTTAATCTTTGGGGTGTTAGAGGTTGAGCAGCTGATGTATCTACTGGTGCTATGTTTGATGCTTCTCCTTCCTCTGTCTCTGCTATTGTTGAATAGATTCCTTGTACACCTCCCCTTTGCTCTGAGCTCTGGAAAATCTTAGGGTTTCGGAGTCTGGGCTGCATTTAGTTGTGTTTGGAGCTTGGCTGTCTCCAGGAGACAGCCAAGCTGGTCCACGATATGGAAGTCCACTGTACTACATTGTCAACAGTCATTACCTTAGGGTTGCAATGCTTTATCACTTTCATATAACTTTCAGAAGAGCTTGGGTTTAGCCTTCAAATAAAAAAAAAAGTTACCCTGTTCACTTTGTATTTATCTTCTATGCATGCTACTCTTCATTCTCTTAATTAACTTTATAATTAATTTTGAGCAGATAACAATGTTTCCTTTAGGGTTTCTAATTGAAACTCTCAATACATTTCTTGTAAATATTTTGAGCTGACTTGGTGGCAAGATGTTCTGTTATTTCAACAAAATATCAAGAATGTCAGTGTAGAACAGGGTCAGGAGTCATTAACCACTTACGTGTCCCCGTACAATACCTGTACATTTTTCCTCCATCATGGCGGCTTAGTCTGTATTTATTTAAAAAATTAACAATGTTCAAAACTTCACAACCCACGAGTATCATTATTATTACAGACAAGCTCGTAGCTCTTCAGAGTTCATTAGCCGTTTTATAAATACAAACTTAACCGCCATGATTGAGGAAAGATGTATGGGTTTGGTAATTGAACATGTAAATGCCGAATGTATCCTGGTCAAGGCCCCATGTTAACATGTACTATAAAACACAAAGCTGGGTAGATGCACTTAACATGCATCTGGGCCATCTGGCTGGGGAACCATAGTCTCTTGCCACTAAAAAGCAGAGAAAATGGAAAACAAATACGGTACAGTATTTGTGTTTAAATAGGTCTTAGTTAAATTGTGAATTTGTATCTGTAACATCAAACGGATAAGATACAAGTCAAAACTCTACAGATGTTTATCCTGTGAACTATAATTCCATCTACTGAATAAAAACTACAGAAAGTTTCTATAGTTTTTATGCTTTACATTAAGTAAATTAGTTCATAGTAGGGACAATAAATTTTGCAATGGAAAACCTGCCGCAGCAAACTTGCATTGCATCTAACTGAACAGAAATAAAAATTGGGTTAATTAATTGATACAATAAATTTATTTTTATTTGATTGTAGTCAGGCTATAATATTGTAAGAAAGTTATATAAAAAATGGCCAAAAAAACAAAAACAAAGGTGGGTGTGTTACTACAACCTTAGATCCTGTATAACAAATGCAAATTAACTAATGAATGCACTGCAAAACATGAACATGTACAATCCACATTACACCAACTTTGCATTCAAAGTCTTAAGACAGCACTTTGTGCCATGAACTGTTCTTGCTACTGGATATAGTCAGGATATGCTTATAATTAAGTCGTTTTCATAAAACGTGTACAGTCCTAACATAAAAATAAACTTGCTCAACGTTAACATTGCACTTTATTTTGCACTAGTAAAAAAAAATAGTAGTTTACAGGATATTACCAATTATTAACAAAATTATACATTGTTATGGAATGACTGACAGAACAAAGCCCAAGTTGGACACATGTATGAATGAGTTTAGGTGGATATAAATAGTAGCTGCCACATATGAGTCAATATGTTGTCAGCAGTTTCCTTGATTATTATGTTCTTAATTTTATTTTCGCTCTCGTAAGTTGGGTTTCTACCAGGAGAGCCTGTCTGCAAAGCAATTTTCTCACCTACATTATTTCCCATGCCCAACCCCTAAATCTTATTTTTTCAAGGTAAAGTTATGATTTCCCTAACTGTGCAAATGAACTTTGTCCATCTACTGTTCCATGCCCTAAACTCTTTCTTCTGCTAACAATTTTCCATGAAATATGGGAACCTGTTTCAGTTAATAATTAAAGAGAGATAGTCTCAACAATTTTCAAAATGTTTCTGACATCTGCTCTGACCTCCATTAAATGATATGAAAGCACAAAAAACAGCAAAAATTAAGGAAAACGTCAGGTCTGCTAAATGTCACCGGGACACTCTCTGGAATCTGAAAATTTTCTGGCAAATTCAGATTTCAGAGATTCTGTAAACAGATTTGATCTGTTGGTTACAGAAATTCATTAAATGGAGGTTCAGATTTTGGAGAATGCACTGTATGTGGTAAACATGATGCAAGTATAAATCTAAAATCCATTAAAAAAAAAAGTGTACACTCTACTGCCTCTAAGTATCTAATAACATAGAAAGCTTTTCCCACTTGGATGGCTAATTAGTGTTAGAATTTGAGCATATAAAAAAAATTATGTATAGTTTTTGCAAACAATTGATAAATTCTGCTTCTCTAAATTACAGAACCTCTATTTAAGTTTTCTGCTGTTATACTGGAGCTTTCTACCAATATAACTCGTGTGCATTCCAAAGACACGTAACAATAGTATGCACTCTAACCAAGTTCCACTGCACATACACTCTAACAGAGTCCCACTGTACATGGACTATTTACACACTATCACAACTACTAGCACTACACCTACTGAGTTACCGATATATATAGCCGACAGAAAAAAGCACGTTGTAAACTATTTTACACAAAATGAATTATGGATTATAAATTTACCACCAATAATAAATACAACATTACAGATATATTACATGAAGTGCTCTGCATCAAGACAAACTGCATTTTATAAATATAATCATTAATTATTATTACATTACAGAATATTTAAAAATGCAGAACAAACATTCTTTGCACTTATCACAGTAACTGTACAACACTGTATATGGATACAAGGTAATCAGTACCTTGGAAATCACTTCCAGCGTGAAACCACCAAGTACGCAGACAAGCCTCAAGGCAGTCGGTCGTCAAGATCAAGTTATGGTGGGTGTATTTGTATTGGATCAGAAATAAAAGTTGTTCGAGATGTACAAGCAACACAAGAAAGAGTAAACTTTATGGGTTTCATTTTAACATTATGCAAAATACTTCCTCTAAAAATTGGGTTGATGAGGACAGATCATTAACACTGGCATATTATTATACAATAGTTTACCAACATAAGAAGTGAAGTAGCTGGTCTGTACTTGCCTTATTATTAAAAAAAAAAAAAAAAAAAACAAGATGTATTAAATATTATTAGCAGCAACGGTATTGTCTCCAAAAAAAAAAAGAACTTCTCCATTGTAGTATGATAGTATTTCCAAAATAACTGTACAGTACACTTATATGAAAATTTTGTAGTGTTACAGTAAAATACATTTTCACCTGACTTCCCTCATAAGTACTGTACTTAAATATATAACAGACAAGGAGTAATCTGCCCCAATCTTCTGCCAAACAATCACAGAGAAGCCACTACTTCACTATCTCCTGGAATGTGAAGCAACCAATGAGCTTAGAAGAGCTTTAAGAGTCCCTGAATCTTGCAGTAACCACCCTGAAGCCATCAACACTGCCACTCTTCTGGTCAAAAGAGATGTCCAGCAGCTGGACACCCTCATAAATACTGTCGAGCAGTATCCTTCCCCGCGATAGAAGCCCGACGATTGAATGCGACCTCAGCACACGATATAGATTTACTGAACAAAAATTTTACTACTTACGGGCTGTTCATGCCCGTGCCACCTCTTGGGTGGCTTAATCTTTATCCGTCAATCAATTAATCTGCCTCAGTCATTCAGAAAAGTTATATCCATTTACTATAATGTCTATAGATGAATGAAAACTACACCATATACCAGAAGATGAGGAGTTGACATTTCAATTGACTTCACCATTATCAAGACAATCGACTTGATAATGGTCCAGGACGGACCGAAATGTCGTCATCTCCCCATCTTCTGCTGTGTGGTTTAGTTCTCATATCTTCAAGTCACTTTATTGTGACTCATCATCTGTCTAGAGTTGTATACTATATTAAATTTACATAATTACTGTATTTGAAAAGCCCATTTTTTCAGATTCTTATACAGTGGTACCTTTGTTCACGATCATAATCCGTTCCTAGAGACACGTCGTCATCCAAAAATTCATCAACCAAAACGAATTTTCCCATGAGAAATAATGTAAATTGAATTAATCCATTCTACACCCCCAAAAATATTAACTTAAAATACAGCATGATTTGCTCTTTAGTGTACAGATATATGCCTGAATACAGATGCCAAAAACACTGTGTATCAGTGGATTTAGGTGTAGTAAATACTAGATATCCAACATCCTTCTTGTATTCCATTTTGTATATATGTACTATACTTTCCTAAATAAATATTGTTACAGTATGGTTACTTATACATCAAGTAAAACCTACTAAAGTTTAAACAAGAAATTAATGCAGTTTCTGAAGCTGGAGCTGAGCAAAGGCCAATTATAAATTTGATTTCAGTGTAAATACTGATAAATAAATATTGTACACAAAGTTACAGCACTAAAATCATTTGGGTAAAATATTGAAAATTTAAATATTACACAACATACTTCCAAGACTTATTCATTCCATTTGAATATAACAACTTTAACTGCTCTTGCCATGAAAAATAAATAAATGAAGTATGAAATATTTTACGGTGACAATTTGAAACTGAGACTACTGTACTGAGAGCATGCCCAGGCGTCGGACATTTGTGTACACAAAGCTTTATGCTGCTGCCATTATTTCTTTTGTAATATTTTCCTAAGTCGTCTTCTCCTCTTAGCCCTAATAAAGTGCTAATATCATCCTAAAAAATGCCACCAGAGTGCATCATGGCCCAGTAACAACCGAGACATCATTCTATCATAATCATTTCACAGGGTCCTGTAGAGCATGGTCAGTGCAATCGGTTCACAGACAAAAGACCCAGGGTTAAATTCCTGTTGCAGCACAGAAGTGCTTGGGTGACACTTCCTTTCACCTGATACCTGTGTTCACCTAGCAGTAAATAGGTACCCGAGAGCTTGGGTTGCATCCTGGGGGAAGGTCAAGATGTACCTCAATAAAATGTATAGGTCAGTACGAAACTTTTTTTTTTTTTTAGCGCTGCCTGTGGCATAGACAGTGCACAGTACTTTGGTAGTGTTTGTGGCCAAAGAGTCCCAAACACCATTCATGATGTTAATATAAGAGTAAAAAAAAAAAAAGTGTATAATGAGCCATTTTAAATTTTTTTTATTCACAAGGGCTTTTATTGAGGGATAAATGACTCCAAGGGACATTGGGAAAACAAGAATTCCAATCATTCTGAAAATCAGCATCGGGACATTCTACCAGGAGGGGCATGACTGTCAGTAAGACAATGCAGTTCGGACATTAACGTGCAGGTCTTTGTTTCATTAAGTTCCCGTGAGTTAAGCATGTGTTACTAATATACAGCCTAGCCAGAACTGTTTCCCACCACCTCTAATAGTAATAGAAGGCTATGGGGAGAGTCTACACTTAACACTATGTCGTTTATTATTCTTAATGCTTGATCAACAATCAGTCAAAAGTTACTAACAGAATTGCATACAGCTCCACTGTAAAAAAATTTGTCTCTGGGGAAAGTCTGTACATGTAGTGTGATCAGGAAAAATAATGGAGAAAGTAATGTCATCAACAGACTCTGGCCCATCCATAAGCAGAGTGGCAGTGAAAATGTTCAAGAGGCATTTCATGATTATACAGGTGAGATACATTCCTGGTATGGAGTGATTGTGAATCCAGTAAATGGGTCATCCTGGCAGTAAAAGTAAAAAAAAAAAAAAAAAGAGAGTGAAGTGGTCTCAAACAGAATATTGCAGTCAAGGCGCAGCAGAAATGAAAATGGTGGTGTTGAAAGGACCATTTGTAATATCGACGGCACTACCGATCATAATGTTGGTATAAGGTATCGTACCTGCTCATGCAGGTACGGAACAAAACACAGGTTTTCAGAAATTGACTGAAGAAGAGTGAAAGGCACTAGAGCCAAGATGCATCCCCCTTATGATGCAAAGTATCAAGACAATGATGCTGTGAAGGGTGAAACTGATGCATATACAGGACAACCATAGTTCGGTTTAGACAGGACTACAGAATAGTGCAAATAAAGAAGTGAACGTCTTATCAGCTTCCAAGAAGGTATGTGATAAGACCTTGAGTAATGAAATTGCCTTGGAACACTCAGTCAAAAGGTAAAGAACAGGGAACAACAAAGATAGGCGGACATCAAAGATCAACCCTAAGAGCTTCGTATTATCTTCTTTACAAAGGGGAACTCCCATAACACAACAAATACAGATGGGGAACCACATGCTATTTAGTAAAAGTTATGGCACAAATCTTCAATAGAGAAAACTAGAAGCCATGCAGCTGGTAGTTCAGGATGAAAAACTATCAATTGCAACCTCAGCTGGTGCTGAAGGGAGAAAATACCATCACTGCAGCAAATGGTGATGATGTCCACATAATGATTGATCGAAGATAAGAGGGAAGACCATTACGGTAAATGAGAAAGAGTAGTGTTCAATGCACTACCCTAAGAAATACCTTCATAGTGGTCTTAAGAGTTAGATAAACAAGTTCCAATGTGAACATAAAATGTACGACAGGACATGAAATTTTCTAGGAAGAATTACAAATGGCCACTGAGGCCTAGATAATGTAGTTGATTAACATACAGTATTACAATATAACTCCAGGCAGTGTTGTACTACTATTGCACTTCACTCTTAAGATGATCAAAAATTGTTCAGGAGAGAACAAGTAATCTTTACCTTTATATACCCTCCCCCCCCCCTCAAGGTAAACAGTCTCTGATATTATTTAAAAGAAATATAGTACATATAAGTTTGGAAGAACCTTCTGGAATAACATATAAATTTGGAAGAGACTTCTGGAATAACATTTTACAAAATATCACATTATATCAAATATTAGTTATGAATATGAAAACTTTGCAGGTTGCAAAGCTGAGAAATCTGTACAATACATGAATAATAGTACTGTATAAGGTATTAACCAAGCCAATTATATTTTCTCAAATCCCTGAGGTACTATTAGAAATAAACTAAAAATATAAAATTAAAACCAGCGCTGAATGTAATGAAATGCCATTTTCTGGGTGAGCCCCGGAGGCTTCCTGAAGCTATGCGAACTGATATAGTGGGCTTCCCACAGAAATTGCTACCATATCATCATACAAGGTTTAAAAATCCCAATCAAAAATGAAATTTGATAAAATAATGGCCAACGTTAAAATACACTGCACAATTTAAAAAAAAAGTTATGAAAATGATGGTGTTTAAAATTTTAAGTCATTGTAGAGAAATTATTAAGCTATTATTTGGAAATAAACAATTCCAGATAAAAAGAGAGAGAGAAAGAATGAGAGAGAAAAAGAGGTCACTACAATACAGTATTCCCAATATTGGATATCTAAACACACAAATCAACTTGTTCACCTTCATTAAAACAGTCTTGCACAGTCCACATATTGATACAAGCAGCAAAATCACACACTATTCAAGTGTACTATAACTAGCATGGAAACAAATGCATTATATAAAAATGCTTTTATCACCATATTGTCATATATGCAGTTCCCAAAAGCACTTGTAATTTATTGTTTCCTTTACATGCTATCATTTTCAAACAGTACTAATATAAGGCAACAACATAACCGCTCCACTTACTTAATGATGAAACTAACCTGGCAGAATTATTCAGTAATTGTACCACATATTCTGCATGCAACATCCCGTTTGCATGCTAGACAAAGCAGGACAATACACAATATAAAATTTTGGCAATTCCATGGTAATGGCATGATAATTTAACTAAAACTCAAAAGCAGTGGGTTAACTCGTGAGAAGATTGCCAAGACAATAACATTATCACCTGTCGTGTCGAGTGCCTTCACGCGAGTTATCCCAGTTTTTCCGGGAGGTACCTTCTTATAGAAGTATCATATGCTGTATATATATATATGGTATACAGGAGAGTATCTTATGAAAGGAACCTTAAATTGATTTCCTTTTTTATAATCAAAAGTAGTTTAACTTAATCTTTTTTATGGCTACAGCTGTGAATATGCAATGGCACATCTATTGCACTGCTATATTCATTTAGAACCTTTTTAATAATCCTTTCAGTCTTATGGTTATATACAAACTGTACATCAAAGCTAACAATAACATGTTCAAATCTTTTTCCACTTTAACTGTGGTGCATCTTCAGTTCCCTTGCCTCCAGACAATTTTCTCTTCCTATATTTCTTTCCATGTGACTTACCACCAGAAGCTGCTGCCTCACAAATGGTCTGTGAAGAGGATGCCGAGCTACCTACAGTCTGCGTGTCTTCTTGAGTGGGATTTTGCAATGATGTTGAAGATTGTGACACAGTTCCTTGCATACACTGGCTTGTTTCTAAAGTATTCGACGAGCTTACGATGTTCGGTGAATGTACTGGGGAGGTGGGTGATGCCTCAGGAGCAGGAGACTCACTGAGTGAAATCCCTCCGGTGGCGAATCCTGACAATGTTGGCGATGTTACATAAGCTGGCGATGATAGTTGAGCAGAGGCTAAATTAACTGGAACCAAATTTGGCCGCACCTAAGTGACAAAATGGTAACAGTTAATCTTACAAGACAGGTACAAACAATTAGGAAACAATTTTGTATGAGCTGGTCATAAAAGCCATACTGTATTTGCTCAAATTACAAATTCCTTTATATAATCATTACTTTCCATTCTCTACCTTTCACTCATCCTTTAGGTTATTTCTGCACTCCAGCTCTCCTACTAGTGTACCTTATTACATTACACCCGATCATCCTCATATTGCTCGTGTATTAGCTTAAATAAGTAGTAACTGCTGCTTCATAATTATTGAAACATGAAGAATATTTCAACAAATATTTCCAGCAAGACTTGAGATAATATTTAAATAAGTGTTTAACTTCTTAAATCTTTTTCATATATTCATCCAGTGTACCTGTATCATTGCTACAAGGGGAATCCATGTAGATTAATCATATATCTGCTTGATTTCTTAAGATACTCCTGGAGGTTCTTTTTCCACTCAACCTTCGCTCATACTGCTTTCCTAATGTGTTCAGCCATTTAAAAGTCTATTCTATGTATCTCTCCTTTAAGCATATTCTTTGAATAACCTTAACACACTAATATGAAATATTACATGTTATATATAAAAACAAACTTTTTATATTTAAAATGATCAGATATAATATAATAATCATCATTTCTTCAATATCATTACCACATTTTTTTCCCACTATAATGCAGTAGAAAGGCAGCAGCCCAGAGGCTTTTTGTTTACAATATTGTAAAAGAAGGTCATGTACCTGGATGGAGTTCTGGAAATTGTTCTACTCCCCAAGCCCAGCCCAGGGTCAGACTTGTTGTGCTAAAACTACGAAAACTACTCGTCCATCCTCATACCATAAACACTATACAGCATCACATACAAACAAGCACCATAACGCAAAAACTATTCTTTGAGTTAACACTTTCGCTGCCCGATGCTGCATATTCCGCCATGGAACCAAAATTCGGAGTATGCCCAATGATGCAAACGGCGTCATTAATTTCAAAAATTTGTAGAAATTCCATTTATTGTCCAAATACTATGGGACTTGTTTCAAAATGTGCACCAACTTCTGCACATTCTCTGTATACCCAAAGTGACATCCTGACCCCACTCACTTTCATCTCATATAATCTGGAGCCTAGGGTTGACACCCCTTATACCAGGAAAAATTGTCAAATAACTATGTTGTGCTTATTTAATGCTAAATGATAACTACAGTGCCTGAACTCTTAATACAGTAATATTAAAGTCTTATATATAAGTCATTTACCATATTGGCTGCTACAAAGACAGTGGAACCAATGGCAGGGCTTGGGAGATTATGTGAGCCATAAAACTGATGATTCTTGCCCTCCCTTCCCCAACTTGTGCCAGTAACACTGCTGCTGTTAGGATCTCCAATGCACCCTTCTCTCATACGTGCCATCTCCGCTACAAGCTCACTAAACCGCTGATCGTATTCAAGCAGTTTGCGATTCACCTAAAAAAGTATAATGAAGCATTAAGTTTGGACAGGACAGATAGCTACATATGTTTTGATCACAGCGGATCAAGAGAAGATCTCCCTGGCAGTCATATCTCCAGATATAAAATAAGTGGTGCAATGACTACAGGGTTCTAGGAATACAGAATAGAGGGGGTGGTAGTAGAGGTGGTGGCAATGGTAATGGCACTGATAATAGTAATGGTTCCACTATCATTAATGTGGTGATAGTCGCAATTTTAGTAGTATCAATAATGCTGGTGGTGCATACTGTGAGAGAAAGGTGTTTTCAGCTAGTCCTGTACCCGAAGGTTGCTGTGCTGAGCAATGCTGTGCACATGAGCATGAACCCCAGACCCCCCGCACCGGCTATCCAACCCCAGTTTAGAGGCTGAATATCAAAAACGTGAAAAGCCACCGACCAGAGGGAGGGATGCCGGGGAGCCTCTGGGTCTCACCCAGAAAATGGCAGTTCATTACAGTACATTCAATGCTGGTTTTCTGCGGCGAGCCCCTTCGACTCCCTGGAGCTACCTAACCAAACATAAAGGAAAATAGGGACTTACCCGGGAAGCGGTTGCCACTCGCTCCTCAACTGGAAGTCGAGACAACTGGCTACAACCTGTGACCCAAGCCTACACAAGCCCAAGAATGGGTCTGGAACATTAATGAGGTACCATGCGGCCAGGACCCTGTTCGACCTCCAAAACCCCGAATGTCAGCCCAGGACATACCGTATTGCCAAAAACAGCAGCCAAAGTCGCAAACTTACGAATGTCGTTCGTAAGTTGGCCCCAAAGAGCCAAGGGCTGCATCGAACCCCCTTGGTTCAGGCAATGAACCACCGGGGAGCAGTCCAAATGGAGCTAAATTGTCGCTCCGTGAGTGACACGAACCCTCCGAAGCATTACTCTGGTACCTCGTAATGTACCCAGTAAGGTAAAAAGAGGAGCCAAACTCAAAAGAAGAAGGATCCATTATCAAGGCGAAATCCGGGTCTCACAGGAGGTAAGCCGCAAGGGCCTCTCAGCACCTCCGTAGGCGGAATGCATGAAGCCGAACACCTCCGGAAGGTAGGAACTGAAGAACCCAAGAGAACCCGGAACCAAATCCGGGGATGGAGCCGAACTCATATCAAACTCATACAGGGAGGGGAAACACGAAAACTCCTTCCCCCTGTAACAACAAACCCCGTGACGAGGGTACCAACACCCAAGCAGGGTTAAACGAGGCCCAAGCCCCCCAAGTCAACTCCTCCCCAGCCCCAGGATCTTCCAAGTCAGGACCCGGGGCCGAGCCATCCTCCAAACCATCTGTCTCTGGAAAAAAGGCAGAGTCTACCGGAAAAGCAGGGATGAAGGCAGTCCGCTGGCGCGACCCGAAAGCCCCGGCAGGAGGGACAGGCTCCAATCCTCCACCACCGATCCGGAAGGGGCAGTCCCCAAGGCCGCCCAAGCTACCTGTAGTTCAGGTAGGCTGAACTCCATAGACTAATGCCCCGGTCTTATGTATCACATATTAGCCCGATAGCTCTATGGGAGCTGTAGGGGCTCCCCACAGAAAATAAATCGACTAAGTTATTCTGGTGTGGTACCACACCTCATTTCTACCAAAAAAAATGCAACTTCTCTGGGCTACTACAGCTAAACCACAAGAGAGTGTGACTTTTTACTTAGATTTTTGTGCATCCTGGATGCTAATTAACAATGTGAAAAGAAAAAAATAATTTTTTCAGAAAACAACTTTGTGTGCACCACAGGAGTGCCACATTTAACGTGCGCACAGTGCAGGGGTTAAACAAAATATCTGAAAATAAAAGTCATGAATTGTAAGCATGTGAAAGTACATTAAAAAAAAAAAGACAAACCTCGTTGAGTTTTCCTTCTTGGCTAGTGAATTTCACCGTCTGCTCTGACAAGATGCGGTTCTGTTCCAGTGCTACTCGTTCCTGCTCGCTCACCTTCCTCCGCAGCTCATTAAGCTGTCAAGCATACAACTGTTACGTCATCTTGTTTTAAATATATCAACACAAAATAGGACACAACACGATGGATGTAAACTGGATACATTTAGATTCAGATAAAACTTGGGTAAATATTATTTTGTGAACCATGTTAAACATTTATGGAGCAAATTACTGGGTAACATGATAAGACTTGGAATTACTGGATTGTTTCAAGGAAAAAAATACATAAATATTATATGTATTTATTATATGCAGAACATAATTCATGCACCAAGTGTATTAAGTAGTCCAAGGCTGACTATCATAGTCTAGGCAGATCTTGGAACAACAGTTTTGGACAAGTGAGGCAAAACACATGCGGTTGAGGAGGGTAGTTGAACAAGCTGGGGATCAGAGTACAGATAGTAAACGCTAGCATTAATCACGCTGCTTCCCACACATTGGTTGTCATACCTGTACAAATGATGTAAATATGGGTATAATACATCCACTGTATAGGGGGGTATAATTGAGTTAACCTAGACCCCATAAAAAATTTTTTTTGCCAAATATGGAATGTAGTTACCATGTATTAATAACCTGTCATTATTCTAAAATCAAAATTTGGTCTTTCTCACCTCTGTTTGGATATTTTTGAACATTACCAGACATAATAGCAGCAAAGGAGTACGTTGCAAGATACTTTCTCTTCAGCTTTGCCAGGAACAAATTTATGTTCAATATAGGTGTACATACTATTACACTGAAGGCCTGTACAGTATACAGCACCGAATTACTGTTTTTGTCAATTATAGTGTGTACAAAATCTAGTTATTCTACACATTTTGTAAACTAAAGTGACACAGCAAAAATATAAACCATCTAACGTGAACATCACAACCCTCTCCACTACAAGTTAACAAAATTGCGTCGCCACGAGCCACTGTCCCAATGGATACAAGTCATATCATTCACAATACCATTTGCTAACGGATATTGAAACCTACCTAACCTAACTCAACCCAACCTAACCTAACTTAACTTAATCCAACTCAACCAAAGCTCAATACAGCCTAATGTAACCTAATACTGTACTGTACATCCTAGCTAACAATATAAATGCTTTTAACAAACAGCAAAGAGATTTGTTGAATCGTCTTATGTACGAAATGACCATATCCCATCCTAGTGACTCGACCATGCAGCTTCTTTTTCTTGTACATTTTGCATGCAAATCTTTCATTTTATAAGGACAAATTATTATTTAACTTTTTGTGGCACCTTTTATGATAGCCGCACATCAAGGGTTAAAAGTGAAAACCTATAAACATAAGACATGGCAAAACTGCAAGATATACCTACTGGGAACACCTAACAAAAGTGCACTATTGAACTGTATGCACATTTAAAATGGAATGTACTGCAAAACATATGATCATTGCTGCCCATCATCAGCCAAAGATAATAAAGTAAGAGAGGAATAATTATATATAAAAACAAAAAATAACCCTAGCCATCTTTGGAAACTTACTTCAATAATGAATTTTTAATTTTAATACCTTTGATTTTTGGTCAGAAACTTCCTTCTTGAGTATGTTAACACAATTTCTATAGTACTTATTAGAGGCAATCAGATGCGGGAGGTCATCTGATGAAGATACTGATGATGACGACGACGACGACGATGACAGAGATCGGTTAAGTGAAGACCCAGCTGTGCTTGCTGTAGATGGTGCTGTCAAACATGATGTATTAGTCAAGTCCAATTCTAAAATTACATGCAACAAATGTCTTATATAAGCTATACTGTACCTTAATATCTAACTGAAAATGAAATATAGAAGATTACCCTCAGATACTCCCTGTGCTGGGATTAGTATTGTACCAAATGGACATACTGTACTGCTGATACAACTAAAAATATGGAAAATAAAAGTAAATGTCTATTATTAAACACGAAGCGTTCAGTTCATATAAAGTGCCATTCTGAATAGAACATTCTATCCCATTCTAAGAGATATGATCCAATGTGTTTTATGTTATGGATCACTAACAGGTTTAGCAGGACAGACATACACTGTACACTGACATCAAAAAGGAAATGATGACCAGACCACACACTAGAAGGTGAAGGGACGACGACATTTCGGTCTGTCCTGGACCATTCTCAAGTCGATTGTGTATGGTCAATCGACTTGAGTATGGTCCAGGACGGACCGAAGCGTCGTCGTCCCTTCACCTTCTAGTGTGTGGTCTGGTCATCATACTTTAGCCATGTTATTGTGACTCATCGCCTGCATATCAAAAAGGAAATGTTTCAAATACACCTGCAGAGTTATATGAGTTACTAGAAGTTTATCTTGGTCTAGATAAGACAAGACTAGAAGTCTTAAAAGGTTGTCTTGGGGAACTTATTGTGGTGGTGGTGATGCTGCCAAGTGCTGGCAACTGGGAAAAGTGACCTATTGGGCAATTCTGTACTTAGCTAGTTTGCTGTGCTGATTATTAGTTTTAAGTAAATGCACTTCCTGTCAACAGAAAGGAAAGGATTAAGTATTTTACAATGTCCCCCTGGCACTGTACAACCCGATGAGGTAAATTTTAAAGGTTTATAGATACACTGGTGCAGAATGACAACTTACTATGACTATGCCAGATCTTAACTTGGAATTAGTGATAGCTTGTCTAAATGTCTAAGGGAAGAACTCAGTGGAAGAATTCAACAAGTTCACATGAAACTTACAAGTCAGAGGTGAGAGCGTTGAATAGGTAGTGGAGAGAGAGAAGCGAGGAGAAGAAGGCGTTAGAGACGTAGGTTTGAGAGTGCGGATGATCTTCTCCTCAAAATGCTCCATCGCCATGCTAGATATATCTCTAAGTTCTGTTAGAATTTCATGAGCCCGTGGTAATGTCTTATTAGACTGGACGAACCGTAAAACACGGTAGATTTCATCAATAACCTGCAAGAAAGCAATATAAAGTAATATTGGTCTTATTTTATCAGGAATACAGTATTACCTAAATTGCTATTATTTTGTAGAGAAATTCCTGTAAACTATTCTAATTAGTATCTGGGTTTTTTGTAGTCAATTTTTAGCCTATGGCACCTCTATTCCTTACTGGTTCTGCTCTGCATTTCTTGCGGTATATTTTGCTCCAGTAAGTTGTAAATATACTGTGCAAGTTTGGAACCTGCCCTTCCAGTATCTTCTGCATATATATTATTTGATATCTCTTTTATCTCCTTTCTAGAGAGCACATTTTAAGAGATTTGAGATGGTCTCAATAATTTTATGATTTATCATGTCTATACATACCATACAGTATATGTTCTCTGTATTCCTCTATTTCAGAAATCTCTCCTGCTCTGAAAGAGGAAGCAAATACTGAGCAGTACTCAAGATGGGGGAGCACCAGTGATTTAAATAGTATTAACATTGCAGTGGGATCCCTGGATTTTACTGTTCTCATAATCCATCCAATCATATTCCAGCCTGATGCTATATTTGCATGGTTATGTTCATTAAATATCAAGTCATCAGACATCATAAATCCCAGATCTTTTACATGTTGTTTTCCTCCTATGAGTAGGTCTGATCATGTCTTCTACCCTGTATTTCATTTAAGTTCCACATTTCCACCATTCCAAAGTACCTTGAAGTCAATGCTGTTAAACTTCATGTTACAGTATTATCAGTCGCCCAATCGAAGACTTTATTAATATCGGTTTATAGTTTTCAGTGTCTATCACAAAGGTTCTATCACAAAGGTAATTTTCATGCTGATTTTTGTATCATCCGCAAAGGATGACACAAAGCTGTGACTAGTAATTTTGTCTGTATCTGATATGAGAATGAGAAAAATCAGCAGTGCAAGGACAGTGCACTAATTACAGTAGTCTCTAATTATGTTATGACGTAGACTGGTAATTTTCATTTTTCCCCCTGCTGGTCTACATCATAGGGGTATAGTATTTTGAAATTTTTCCCCTGCCGATCTATGGCATAGGGGTGTTTTTTAAAAACATTTCCTAAGCCAGTCATTGGTGCAAGGGTGTTTTCACATTTTTTTTGGATTATTTCTCAAGTGCTTCCTTCAATCATATATTATTTTTCAAAATGGAGATTAAAAGGTGGTGCCCTGGGGTACAGAGCTTTTCACTGCACTTGTACAGTACTTGATTTTATTTAATTGACTGACTCTTTCCATTCTGTCTGACAGAAAAATTTAAAATCCAATACCCCACTTTGCCCATTATTCCTATTGATCTTATTTTATGTGCTATCACTCTACGGTCACACATCAAATGCCATCGCAAATTCTGTGTATACGTACTGTACATCTGCATTTTGTCATAATGGATGAGAGAAAAACAGGATGTCCCTGCTCTGAATCCATGTTGACCTGGGTTATGAAGGTCATTGTTCTCCATAAAACTGAAAATTTGATTCTTAATCACTCTTTCAAAAACTTTTATTATGGGTAATTAGTATGACTGGCCAATGTTTTTTTTTTGGAAAGCCTTTACTACCTCCATTGTGTAGTGGAGCTATATCTGCTGATTTAAGTGCTTTTGGAATCTTTTGGAATCCAAGCGTTTTGTCCATATTACACTGAACACTCATGCTACTGGTGCTTCATGAATATTGAATTCCAGGAGTCAGGACCCAGGGCTGAGTGCATGGGCACATTGTCAATTCCTGTTTCCACGTATTCTGTGCTCATGGTAATATCAGTTAAATTGTCAGGGGGGTTTAGATATCGTTCATGAAAAAAAGCTGTTCGGATCTTCACCTTTCATGTTCCTTATTGGGGGTGCTAAACATGGCCTCATATTGGTATTTTAGGATTTCTCAAATTTCTTTGTCATCTTCTGTGTATGAACCTTCAACTATAAGAATAGATCTAATACTATTGGAGGTTTTTCTATTTGTGCATGTGTAAAAATATTTTTAATTTTTTTTATCTCTTGTATAGAGATAATCTTGTTCCAATTTCATTTCCTCAAACTGGTATGATTACTTCAGTGTCTGTTCTATTTCTTTCCTTTCCCCTGCTTAATGTCTTTTGCCCTGTTATGATAGTCATACCTGCTTAAGCATGTCTTGTGATTTTTTTCCCCCTTTTGTAGTCATCTGCGTTCTTTTTCTAGAGTGGTCCTCTTCTTGACCTTCTGCAAAGCCACATGCATCAAGCAAACTTTGTACACTTCGGTAGTCAATTGTTCTATTCCTGCCACAACTTTTGTGAAAAACATCTTATCACGATGGACTTACTCATTACAATTAAAAAATCTGAATAATGCAGATGTACAGCAATTGTATATCAGATAAAGACACTCTCTCTTCCATATTCACTGCCAGCCAGTGAAAAGAAATGAGCTCATGAGCAACTATTTATGAATACTAGTAAAGTCCTTCATCCTCTAAAAATAAAACAAAAATTTGGATATTGTCAGTAATGATATTTAGCAGTCTACAAATGCTTAGGTGTTCATGAAAATGCTGAAATTTAATACTGTATACAGTATAGTATAGTATCTTATTTACTATCTTTAAGAATGTTATAATACCTTTCATTTTTTTTACAGACCTTTCCAGGGATGAAGCAGCACATGTGGCAGTCAACATATTTAATGAAGGTCATATTTAGCAATGACAACCTCGTCTCGATAGCTGTCAAAATGTCACAGTGGCGGAACAGAGGATGGTTTCGACGTTCTGACTCTCGGCGAGGCAACTGGCTCTTTACCTGAAAATATTTCAGGTTTTCATTTTTGGGATATGAAATATTTTATTTTATTTTATTTTATTTAAATACAGTATACAAAAGTTCTTATATTCTTGCAAAGTCACTAACACGCATTGCATTTCTGGCAGGTCCTTAATCCTAATTTTTCCCCAGAATACGACCTGCCAAATCGTTTAACCAGGTACTCATTCACTGCTGGGTGAACAGAGGCTGCAGTTACAGATTGGTGCCCAGTCAATCTTCCCCGGCCAGGAAACGAACCCAGGCCAAAGCGCTCGCGAAGCAGCGGGTGAGTGCTTTATCACTGCGCTACGGGGACTGCAGGCATTGGTGGCGCAATGATGACTGGGAAAATTTACAGTACAGTAATAAGAAAGTAGGTACACAACAATAAATCTTGCACACTAAGGCAAATATATTTCATCTAGCATTACAGTTTGCTGTCAAATATTTTACAAATAATTTGTATTATGATTACACATACAATACATAAATAGGATAATAAAAAAGTAAACAATAATTATAGTGAGCACATGACAAATTTATGTAATTTTTATAGTGCAGAACAGTACTGTACTGTCCCCTTGATCACCACAAGTTAAGTATAAAATGTAGAGAAAGGGCATTTTTCTGTAGGCCCTTAGTAGCTCTCCGGTGTTATTTGCTGGGACTGCTAAGCCTGAGTATCATGCCAGGACTCTGAGAACCATGCCTACCCACCAGAAACCAACATCAGCTTCTGCTCTCTCGACAAGGCAAGGGGAGCTTGCAAACCACACCTCTACCCAAAACTACTCAAAACTGAGGCAAACAACCAGAAAGGTTATGTAAAACAAAACTAATTATGACTTGAAATAAATAAAAATGAGGAAACCAAGGCAAAGATAGTTTACCACAGGTGAGGAACCCTTACCCTAATGTACCCAGCTGATGCTAGACGATAGCCTGGGTAACCCAGGGTACCAGCCAGAAACTCACCTTACAAGCTGCCTTTACTGAACTCCAAAATAACTCATGGAGGAGGAGGAGGAGGAAGAAAATATAGGGCAGTATGGGGAATTACTGAAGGCCTTTCAGAAATGGGTATTTCATTACATTCAATGGATGATTTCTGGCACGGCCACCTCAGTAGTTCTCCAGTGCTTATTCACAATCCCACTTCAAAGAGAAGAATACCTGTGCTGAAAAGACACATACGATTAGCAGTTCAAGAACAAATGTAAAAAAAATTTCCATGAGAGAATAATGCAGAGTATATTCTCTGCAGCATTCTTCTCTGCAAAGATCTCTGCAGAGAATACTGCAGAGAAGTTATGCCTATGTGCACCATATAGGTATAACATGACTCCGGATAATCCAACAAGCAGCAAGCAACGAACACTCTGGTGGACTGACAAAACCCCAAAGCCCAGATATCATGATGACATATTAGCATGAATGTTGCCAAAGCAGCATATTCTGTACATCATGGATATGAGGCTAGACCAAACCACCTTACAGATAACCTGAGAGAGCTTAATCTTTCAGCTAAGAAAGACTAAGAGACTAAGATTACTTGTAGTCTCTTTAATAAAGAGATTAATTAAATGACTAGGAAATAGTATCTGTGAAACTTTGTATTTAACCATAATATAACATGCAGAAATGCTCTGAAAAACAATTACAGTATAAAATGTCACAAACCTCTTTAAGGCACTTGGCTTGGTATCTCTCAACTCTTCGAAAACCTTTGTTGAGAAGAAGCTGATTTAGCTGGTTAAATCTTCTACATACCTGAAAAAAAACAGTGTTTATCTTTTAATCAACTACAAAAATTTGAACATGATATCAACAATATAATATCAATGTTGAAGAGCAACTTCATCAATAAAAGATACACCACTGCTATAATATATTTTTCCATATCTTTAGTTGTGAATAGAATATTTATTTGCAGAGAAAATGTATAAGATCTTCCATGTGACAGAGTAACACTATGGGAATCAAATGAACTCATTGGGGAACTTGTGGAAGGGGAAAACAAAAAAAAAATAAGAAGTATATAAAATTTAGAGGAAGGAAATACAGTAGTATGAGTTGAACCCTCAGACTATGTCAAATGTTCCCCCCATTAAGATTATGCTTTTCTAGCATCTGTACCCAAGCTCTGCCCCTGGACCCTTGTGCGAGCCTCACTTAGACCTATTGAGGTGTGATGCAATATTGACAATTAAGACAATATTTGCCATTATCCTAATGTGCTTAACTGGCAATGTCATTCAAGCATCAGTCTTGATAAAAGCTGTGGTGCTTGTACTGGACTATGAGCAGTGAGCACAACAACCTCATAGATGAGGAATCATTACATATTAGACCACAGAAGCATATCAAGCAGTGGAGTCCACTGGAGGTGAATTCTCAAATTCAGTGACTTACTACTTAGGAACAACTGATTGTTAGCGTTTAATATTAATTATTAATATGCACGATAGTTTATTCATATACACAAGTTCTTACTTCTTGTACCGCCATTAGCAAGCATAGTGTTTCAGCCAGATCCTTAATTCTAATTTTCCCCGGAACACGACCCGCCAAAGTGTTTAAAAAATCAAACCCATTCACTTCTGGGTGAGCAGAGATACAGTTAAGGATTGGTGCCCAGTCAATCCTCACCGGCTAGAATACGAACCCAAGCCTAAGCGCCGGGCGAGTACTTTACCACTGCGCCACAAGGACTATTTATATAAGGTTGTGGGGTTACAGCCTTGGGAGTCAGTAGTTCCACTTAGGAGGGGACATCGATACAGGTTTAAGGTACATATATATATTATATATATATATATATATATATATATATATATATATATATATATATATATATATATATATATATATATATATACACACAAGCTTTTTGTCCCAGATAAAACGAATTAACTAGGCCTATGCACACTTACTATCCGTAGGTGAGACAACTCTTCGTAGCTGATATACCCGAGTATCTTTTCCACAACTATCTCTGGCAGGTCCAGGAAATTTTGACGGTTTCCTTTCCCTTCCATGATGGTTTTTATTGATAACAACAGCTTCAACAGACCATGTTCACATCGCGGGACCTTCTCGAGACGTCCCTCAACACGACCAAAACAATGAAACAGGAGACGCTCGGCTGGCGCCGCCAGAGCAAAACAATAATAATAATAATAAAAATAATAATAATAATTTTTTTACAAGAAGGTACAATGGTTTGGTGAGATTACATAAGATTGGTATTTTTATACTCATGCTTAGCCACTAACACGCATAGCGTTTCAGGCAGAAAAATTTGAACTTGAAGCAATCAGATTCTCGTCGCTTGGCACACAAGACGGATCGCACACGGATATTTTTTACAAGGTGTGTGATACATACGTGTACGATACCTGACGAATTTTAGTATTAAATTACAGGTAACGTAAATTATTACCTGACGAACCTCATCCCTTTTTGTGTATTTTACCTCATTAAACTTATTTAATTTTCAATTACATGACGAATTTTAACGTGCGATAGTCGCGAAATGGTCACTGCTTGATCGCAAGCGGGGATTTTTCTGGGGACCCATAGCCTCGGAGAAGAAAATAAAAAGTATTCAGAGGAGACCTTGTGGTTTCTCACTGAACACTAATATTATCTTCTCCTACCACCCCCATTCTTTTGTATGTACACATATATATTTACTTTATTTGAACTTTGTTACAAAAAAGGAGTTACATATAGGTTACAAAGATGGTTGTCATAGGTTGTCGAGTTCCTCCAGCTCCTCAGATGGCGGGCAGGAACCCTGGATGCAGTTCGCATTTCCCCTCTGTATCGCCACACTGAGGCGCTGGAAAAGAAAGCTTGCAGCTCTCGGGTCCCTTGTTGTTTCAATGAGCCTAGAACCCAGTTCCTTCAAAAAACTGGTAGCACTTTTACCCCAGGCGCCGAGCGTCTCAGAAGCAATGGGGACAAAATTGTAGTGGTGATCCAGTTCTCTATACTTACGGGATTTGGCTGCTTCCCTGTGGGTGGCAGCGCCACCTGGTTGTGCAACACTGAGGTTAATGTAGGTGTTAGCCAGGGTTGATACGCACGTGTAGTCCCATACCAACTGCTTGCCATTCTTCCAGGGGTTCACTGTGATACCATCTGGGCGACCAATAAGAGCATCAGAGTTACGGGGCGTTAGGTAACGGGGCTCTCTTTCAGCTGGGCATCCAGCTGTGGTGAGGCTCCTCTTGATGATGTCATTAACTTCGCTGTGCCTCGAGTGCCATCCCCCTGTGCTTTGGCAGAGTAGGCCATGGTGACCGTACCTGTCAGCCACCACCTCGCCGCAAATACACCTATATCTATAAATATATATATATATATATATATATATATATATATATATATATATATATATATATATATATATATATATATATATATATATATATATATATATATATATATGGGAACACTAGAAGACGCCATCTTCAACACAGATTCAGATTCAGATTCAGATGTTTATTCAGGTAAGGTATATACATACAAGTGATGTTACATTAATGGATTGATATATAGATAGAGCTAGTACATACAATGCCTAAAGCCACTATTACGCAATGCGTTTCGGGCAAGGTTTCAACACTACAGGGAAACCTCACATCTACTGCAGATACGTCAATTATACATTCGTATGAGTGAAAGACCTCCAGGAATCTACTTATCAAAAACTCAGTGCTTAACTATACCCAAGATTACCCAGGTCATCTCAAGATAAATAACCTCAAGATAAGATGAGCTCGGCGGCATGGATGGTACATTCCCTTTCCTCGATGTCTTCGTGAGAACCAAAGACAACACTTTCACCACGAAGAAAGACAATCAAGAGATAGAGCTTCGGCCTCACACACATGAGGTCTCATTAAAAAATACTTGGATATTGAAATTTGGTAGTGAATTCCAATCTAGGAATCTCCCACGACGAAACTGTACTGTGTTCGCTTTAGTAAGGTGTACTGTGTATAATAGTTAATTCATTGTGTAGGGGAACAGGCAGCCAGTGTATATATATAAATATTAGGCTTATACCGAGCTAGGTCCCTCCAAGGCAGTGTTGCCAGATTGGGCTACAAATAGCGAATTGGGCTACTTTTGAGAGCCCCGCGCTCCCAAATGTTTAATTTCGCTACTTGCTACTTTTTGGGGCTAATTTAAAAGCATGATGTGCTAATTTAGGCTATTAATGTTAAGATTGTAGGATTGCGAGTTACATGAAAAGTAAATATTAATTAATACTAAATAATATTATTTAATAAATTAGTCCCAATTCAATGCAGAGTTTTCTTCCAAGCACAGAAACTTGTAAATATAAAGTCGATAAATAAATAGACAGCTTTCAAATATTGCACCAAGTAATGGTGAGAGGAAAAAACTAGACAGTATACATTACATTTGAAATTAATAATGGATGAATGGTAATAAATTGGTGTATGTTTGTATGTATATCAGACAAAGTCCATTTAATGACAGAATTTAGCCATTTTGTGTAAAAACTTTTATATCTCATATTATTAATTATAACAGTAATCGAAAAAAGTCATAGTTTGTATATACAAGAGATGAAGCACGGAGCCATGAGCTAGAGCGATGTGCTGAGTCCATAAGGAGGCCGAGCTTCCAGAAATACCTTCCTCTGATTGGCTGTTGCGGGGAATACCAACACTCTTTTATGAATAAAATTTAAACTAAGAAATAGGTCCTTGTGCACAACAACAAGGTTGTTGTGAAAAAGAACAAGAATTTCTGTTTTGCACCTGACAGAAATCTCCATCTAACTGAATAATTTACTCGAATAAGAGGACAGAGCAGTGTATCATTATTTGTGTCAAGGCAACCCCCAATAATAACGTCCCAAGTTAGGTAGCCAGCCCATGTTTCTGTAACACCCGTTACATCCTGGTGATGTAACTGATTAATATAGTGATTTAATTATCACTATATTAATACTTTTAAATACTTAACATTTCACTTTTTAGGTAGATTAAAGTTGAAGCAGAATGTCATAAGCAAGGATGGTGTGCTGAATAAAGATGATTTATTAAGTGGATGGAGCCTTTATCTGATCCCTTCCTGTGATTGGCTGTTGTGTGAATGTCAACAAAGAATATCTACCAATGATATGCCATTTATTATGCACTCCATACCATCTGTGGGCGGAGCTTGGAACCTCCTACCCGAACACAACAACCCGCTTTATGGGTTGCTGTTTGGCTATTTATAGTGCGTTGGAAAAAAACTAGATGGCGTTAGTTGTATTTTGTAGGGTAATTTGTTATAAGTTTAATTTGATGTCAACAGATGGCGTAAGCTGTATCTTATGGCCACTGTTGACCAGCCAGTTGATAGTGTTCTCTTCTGCCGACAGATGGCAACAGCTGTGTTATTATTACTCCCTTGGCTTATGATAAGGTTTTATACCATTTATGATAAGTATTAGATAATTGGAGTTCCGCAATTACTTTTATTTATCAACTGTTTAGAATATCATCATATAATGTCTGGTTAGGACGTACTGCTCTCGATTGATGAAGATTAAGCCACCCAAGAGGTGGCACGGGCATGAATAGCCCGTAAATATTGCTCTCCTAATATTATTCAGGGGGGTGGGGGGAACTATCAAGTGAAAGCGCCAAGCCATTACGACTGTATAGCACTCGGAAGGGATCAGGATACGGATTTGGGATGGAACGGGGGAAAGGAATGGTGCCCAATCTCTTGGGCGGTCGGGTATTGAACGCGGGCCTGTAGGAAAGGAGACCATCGCTCTACCGTCCAGCCCAAGTGGTTAAGCGTAATAATATTAAAACAACAATTTATGCATATTATAACAGCATTTCACACAAAAAATACTTGGATATATTGAAATTTGGTAGTGAATTCCAATCTAGGAATCTCTTATGACTAAACTGTACTTTTTAATCATTTTTATGTACTTACTACTTATTATTAAATTATTAAGTACTCACTATAACAATTAAATGTATTATTTTATTTAATATTTAAATTAAATGATAAAATAATAGGTAATAATAAATCATTGTGTAGGGGGACAGGCAGCCAGTCTATATATACATGTTAAGCTTATACCAAGGTGCCACAAAGGTGCCACAAAGGTGCCAAATTAAAGACTGGGAGCTGCCGGGGCGGGCCCAAGGGCTGCTGGCGGCCCTGATGGCCAGGCTGAACTTCCGCGCCCTTATAATCACCATTGTTTAATAATCTTCACAGGGAGAAACAACTGTAAATATAGGAATAGTTTATTACAACATACACGGTAAAGAAAACAGCTCGGAAACTAAGGAAATAAAGTGCCGAAAAAACATTAAAGTCCACTTCAAGTTCAAGTATGTTTATTGAGACAATAAAAAAATACATCTCAAAGGGATAGAGTAGCTTAGGCTATTTCTACCCCCCCCCCTTCCCTCTACTTCAAGTCCCTCAAGGGGCGCACAAATTCAGTGAGTACAAATACACAAATCACAATACAAGAATCCCATATGGGGACAGGATGCCGGCGGTTTGTTAAAAGTCCCGCCTTATTCTTGGTGATTTTTTTTGGCAATAGCTTGAATAGTTCAGCTTTAAGCTGTTGCTCCTTGTATGCCTTACAGAGTAGTCTGGATTAATCATTCAATCACAACTATTCATAAATGGAAGTACATCTATAATTGAGAAAGTTTACATAAAAAGTATAGTACAGTATTCACATAAGAGTCACAATAACAGAACAGTACCCAGACATAGTCATTATCGGAATTAATGGATTGAAAATTCGTGGATATCTTCTGTATATCCAAGTCGACCTTGAATGTCTACTCTAGTTCTTCTTTTTAATATACCAATGGCGTTAGCCTCAAATAACCTAAACTTGTTTCGTAAGTTAAGTATGCATGAACCTTATTTGTTCGTCATCCATGGGTAATGCATAGGTTTAAAGGTACATAGGCCTACTCAACGCCTCACTGTAGCCGCTTTAGCTATTCTCGTTATCACATAATCAGGAAGAACTGGATTTTTTGGGTCCAAGAATATTTTGGCCAAGGTCGAGCGTCGTATACCTTGAATATATGGACAGCTGGCGGTGTTATATAAGCAGCA